GGGTTACAGTTACATCAAAATATTTAAAACATTTATACTGCTTCCTTGCGATAATTATAGTTCAAATTGTGGCAACCTGTTAACGAGATGTGAGCGTAGCAAAAGAAGTAATATAAGCGCCAGGTGGGTGGAAAACTTGAAACACGGCCGCGCAATTCACAATTTCAAAGATGGTATGTTATTTCCTTTCAGATGAATTGGGTAAGTGGATTAAGTGCGTATTTAATTGTTGTTTTAGATATGTATATACACATATATTTTTAAAAAATCTTAGTCATGCTCACGAAGCCCAAACTAGGCCCCAATTCCACCTAGTAAACCAAGAGACATTCCGTCTGCAGTTGCTAATTAGGCTGTATCTGTTCTGGTCGCTGCAAGAACGGATAAGACTTGGGAAGAAATTTCCTTTTTATTAACGACATTCAAAATACTAATTTACACACTTGTGGATTTGAAAATATGCCATCTTTCTTGTTTTTTTTTAAATTGACGTTCTCTAGCTTCAACTCTCCTAACATTGAATACATTGAGTTTCAGATCCCATTTGTTCAGAATCTATTCTTTTATCTTATCATTCAGAAGGTTTGCTATCTAGAAGGAAATAGAAATACGTCAACGGAAAGAATAAATCGCAGTGACAGTATTTTAGCCTTTCCCAGTCCATTCCGTAATTAGTTGTAACCTACCGTCGGAGTAAATTTAGTTGGCGCTTTATTTTCTGAAACTGCAATGTTATTTTTAAAAGTATGAATTGCAAAATATAGTATGCAATTCTAGGTTAGTGGTGAAAAAAGTTCAATTGTACGGCATTGCTTTCAACTCCAGAAGATACATAGTGTTCAAGTTATTATTTAATATATTCTATGGGCTCTTTAGTAGCAATTTTCTCCACTCTGTGTGTTGATGGTCTCATTATATTGCCTTGTTTTCTCTAGTTTTCCTAACACGCGATGCAGCAGCAGTGGCTATTAGCCGTTCCACCTAATTGGAAAATAATAGCCGTGGTTTACGCATTGCTCTTTTGTTCATCTTTCAATATCACCTTTTACTGCTCAGCATTTCGGTCATTTGCACGACACAACTTGTGTGAAGATTCTTCATGTTAAAGAATGCAGCAATTGTGGGGGCTTGCTAATCAAACCTTTACTTCTAAGACCTGGTTTGTGACGAATAAACGAAAACCAAAAATAAAACATAAAGCAAAGCCATAAACAGAAAAGATCAACGTTCATGAGAACTGTTCGAATTTATTAAAATTCAGTATACAATTGGAAGTAAATGCATAAATATAATACATGGTTAGAGGCTTTAGGGCAGAAACTGAGGAAAGCGGCAAGCGTCGGCCTTTCATTAAGAGGGGTCGAACTGGCTTAATCTTGCACATTTTCCTCCATAATTGCTCTGTATTTATACTCACACTTCGAAAAGATATAGCTTTTCATTTCGGCCAGCTTTCGGTTTGTTTTTTTTTAATAGCCAGTCTATAATTAGGAAAGAGAGACAGGTATAAGCTTGCAGGACTGAAAATTAATCTACTCGTGGTATTTTAACTACTTGCGTTAACTAATGGGGCATCCACCCCAAAAAACTGTTTTAGCTGTCGAAAATGTAAAATCATCCAACTACTAAACGACCGCATTCACCAACTCTCCTTAATTTGTACTGATTGCCCTCTAATTGCCAGGTTTCGAGTTCGGTTATAGGTGCAGTAACAGTATTTACTTGAGGGCTAAAATATCTTACTTGCCTAAAATATATCCACATCCTCCTCATGTATGTTTATTATTTACAGTACCTCAGATATTTCAGTAAGAGATGTGACCATTGTTGACGGAAAGGAAACCTAACGAGATAATGAGATCTTTAGCAAGGAGCCTTTGGCTTCCGTCCTTTCATTGCGATCTGATGCCGCGCTCAGGGCGCAGCAAATGCTCTGTTATTCCAAAACACAAATGTCCCCATTGAGATGTTCAAAATGCCTAATTATTCGAAAGGAAACATTCCACTCTTTTATGGTCGATAAAACCTTAACAGTGTGCAATTATGGAAAGTCGAAGTTGGGATTTGGGGAGTATTAGTGAATTTCAATCGTACGCAATTAAAACAACATTCTAATGGAAGAGAGCCATAGTAGGGTTATCAAGTATAAAATCGAGCTTCTCTGTGTTTCGAGATCGCTTGGCCGTTCAAATAAACCCGGCGAATGTTGGTTAAATAGATGTTTCCCGAGAAGTGTTGTGGTGTTTGTATACTAAATGCACATGTATATGCATGCATGCTTTAATGAAGAACGCTGGTGCAATAACAATTACTCCCACACACAATTACTGTGAAATCTTTTAAAGCTGAAAATCTGCGTTGCGCTCTACTGTTGGGATTTTCTTCATAAGAACATCAAAATTAAATCTATAAATCATATCCCTATATATGTACTCTTACCATCAGGTTGTGTCTATTTATTGCTGGTATGAATTTACTGAAGGCACAATTCAGGGACACTTGATGTTGTGGGTCCCAGCACTTGTAGACGCTATTGTTCTTTGTTTAAAATGGGCAGAGAAAAATATTATGGAGGGACTGAGGTTTGATGTTTCCCAACTAGTGTACATAAGCTAGCCAAAGGAAATTTGTGCCTGTAATAAAACAAATCCAAATGGAAAAATATGCTAATAGAAAATCTAAATTCTTACAACAATTATTTACCCAACTTACTCTGTGCTTCTACCTAGGAGACACATCTACAAAACTAGTGATTTGTTGATTTATTTCTTATTACCCTTCCTGCTCGAGCATCTCTCTCCTAATTATTGTTGATCCATCAATTGTGTGAATGCGTAATACACTGTCATAATTCCACGAATGAATGTATCTAAATTACGAATACATAGCTATATCTTGTAACCTGATAGTGTTCTCTTTTGGTCGCTAATATTCCATTAAAATCACCTCTGTTATAGTTCAGAGCAGATTTGGTTGTTTGTAACTTTGCTAGCTCAGTCGCCGGATCTCCAGGGAATTTTTTGAACCAGAGTCGTTTTCTATTGGCCAGAGACTGATCAGCTGGTTATATTTGCTGCTGTCGCTTTGGCGCTCGGCCATCCTGAAACAAACCACCTCGATGACTACTAATAGCTAAACCACATTGTGTACTAATACATAACAAATCATATTACTACAGACTGTGGAGCAAATGAGTTCGTATTTTGTGAACCCTACTTTCCCTGTTTCACTGCCCAGTGGCCAGGACTCCTTCCTCGGACAGATCCCACTCTATACAACGGGGTATGATGCTCTAAGGCACTTTCCAGCTTCCTATGGGGCAGCGACGCTCCAGGATAAGAGTTACTCGTCACCTTGTTATTATCAACAATCCAACTCAGTAATAGCCTGCAATCGGGCATCGTATGAGTATGGAGCTTCTTGTTTCTATCCTGAAAAGGATCTAACCAGTGTTTCGCCATCCGGAAGTGGAAAGCACAGAGCCCAGGATGATTTCTTTTCCTCAGACCAACAGTACAAAACAGATTGTGCACAAAACAAAATTTTAAATGAAGAAGGAAACGACCGGAAGTACAGTACTCCAATTTACCCTTGGATGCAACGAATGAATTCAAGTTCTAGTGAGTATTTATAGTGGAAAATTACATGTTAAAACTTGACAGTGGGAACCAACTTTACGTAAAGAGTGCATGCATGTGTTAATTGTTACGTTAAATGCCGCACACTTTCTAGAGTCGGAAGATTGAGCAATAGCATGGCATTGGTAACGTTAGCTGTTTGTTTCATTTTTTTTCGCGTTTTTTGCTTCCACCATGCAGGTTCTGTCTTTGGGCCACATGGGCGCCGAGGGCGACAAACCTATACCCGATACCAAACTCTTGAGCTGGAGAAAGAATTTCACTTTAACAGATATTTAACCAGACGCCGCCGGATAGAGATTGCCAACGCACTCTGCCTCACAGAACGTCAGATCAAGATCTGGTTTCAGAATAGGAGAATGAAGTGGAAAAAGGAAAACAAACTTCTAAACACAACAGAATCCAACAGCGAAGATGCAGAGGATAAAACAGGGGAGTAAGAGCGCGAAACCACAAGAAGTTAGTCTGGGCCTTTCTGTTTGGTAGTGAGTTCTTATTTGCTCATTCTGCTAAACAGTACAGAAAAAAAAAATTCGTATTTCTGTTCGTTTTCGTTGCCCCTCTCTGTCTGAGCTTGTGTCAATGTATCAGTGCTAGAGGAAGTGTTGAAAACACTCTGCATTCCACAGCACACCATAATTATACGGCATTTAGGATTAATTGTTTTATAAGTGCGAAGTGTGAGTGTTTCTGCTTCTCTAGTCGTTACTATGTGATGATTTACTCCTCAAACAGTATTCTAATTGTTTCAATGGATAGGTTTAAATATAATTTGACGGCCTTCAAATAATGAACGTAGTAGATATGCCCATTTGCAAATGATAAATATGGTATTGTATATGTCAATAGTTTACTGCAAGATTTCTTATTGTTTTTGTTTTTGTCAAATGAAGAGGACGCAGTGTTTAGTTAGCTTGTGCCATGTTTTCTCTACCAAGAGAAGCAAATATATTTGCTTGTGACTTGACAGCCATGAGATAAATAAATTCAGCCTGGCGACGCTATTGCTCTTAAATTGAAATTTCGCAAGTTAAATTTTCTTAAATCTATATTAAATATATACAGTAATATATATATAAATAAACTATCCGATTTCTAAAAGTTTAGCCTTCAATTAAAGCTGCCGAAAAGTTTTTTGTATTAAATAAGCTGTGAAAGGAAACTTAGCACTGTGAAATTGATCGGTAGATGTCCTTGTTTCAGAGAGAAAAAGATAGACAGTATACGTGGTAGGAATGACTACTTAGTTTCTAAAGCCATTAAATACGGCAATGTTCACTGAACGCAGAACTAAAGATGCAACTGAATCCGCTGGTAAATTATGAAATATTCTTCATGTTTATTGCAGCGAAGCTAGAAACAGCATCGGACACAGAGCTCTTGTTTTGATTAGATGGATTATTATTTGTTAAGTGGACCCTCTTTTGTTGGATCTTGCATAGCATTTCATCGTATCGAACCAACACTAAATTGTGTGTAAAGAAATTGTTTCCATGTAAATTTAGGCACAATATTATGTTTATTTTACAATTAAAATGGAATTCTGGTTTAACATGTACCGTGTACGAAAGTAAACTGGAACGATTTAAACTCATCTTCAATATACGTGACCTGATTTTTAAGAACACAAAGGTTGGTTTAATAGTTTAGCTTCGCGATGGCTTCAAATTTCCGCCTAAACGCGAATAAATGCTCAATACTATGAACTACACGGACTAAAGAGAAATTTGAGAAGAGTAGCACATGAAAAAAATGGCATTTTGACGGGTACGACGCCGTTTTTCCCTGAGCAAATCTGCGATGACATCAAAGACGTATAAAGACAGTAAAAACATTATAACTACAATTAAATCTGTTCTTTATAAAAACATCAAACCAAATCAGTGACAAGACACCCTCAAGTCTTATTTGTAACACTGTCAGCGGCAGCATATTTTCAAAACATCTCTGCGTGGGGATTGAACAAATGCACCATTCCCTGGCGTGAATCTTTTCTTTTTTGAAAGATGCCCCTCCACGTTGTTTTATGTGATTTATTCTACGAAATGTAACGGTTACGTTTAAAATTTGTGGGTAGCCTTAATTGGACCCGAGGCCGATTGCCCCGTTTATCAGAACCGCAGGATTCATGGCCTCAGTCTCCAGAGGGTGGCGCGCAAGGACAACCCAAAGCTACTGCGGGGAGCCGGCGGCGCGCCCCTGTGCGCGCTCCCCACGCTCTTCCTTCCACGCAACCTTCCAGTTTGGAGCCACAGTGCACGGATTTAACTCTAGAGGTCATCAGTGAGAATTTACGACTGGACAACAAAAGCACGTGATTCCAAGTCGTACCCCATATTTGGGCGCCTACGTAGGAGGGAACGAAGTACATGTCCCAGTCATTTCCATAATTCATCATAAATTGTGCAGGGTGCTAGACGCACAAGCGACCAAGAGCCACAAATCAAGTAAAAATAAATAAATAAAAAAATCAAATGAGCTCTTACTTTGTAAACTCATTCTGCGGTCGCTATCCAAATGGCCCGGACTACCAGTTACATAATTATGGAGATCATAGCTCGGTGAGCGAGCAATACAGGGATTCTGCAACGATGCATTCCAGCAGGTACGGCTACGGCTACAATGGGATGGATCTCAGCATTAGCCGTCCAGCATCTAACCACTTTAATGCCAGTGAACGATCTCGAAGCTACTCTGCAGCAGCAACAACAGCAGCAGCAGGACCAGAAGCAGGAGCAGACACCAGGTACAACCAACCTGCCACATCCACTCAGTCTCCTTCACCTGACCCTCTGCCCTGTTCCGCCGTGGTCAGTCCGCCTGCTAGCGAAAACCACCACGGAATCAAAAACTCCATAGCAAGCCCAACTACCTCCTCAAATTCCAGCAACAGCAGCAGCAGTCACATCAGTAGAGATGGGGTTGGCACATCGCCTGGTACTGAGGATGACACCCCGGCAAGCAGCGACCCTCCAAGTTCACAGAACGGGCAAAGCACAGCACAACAACAGCCTCAAATTTACCCCTGGATGCGAAAACTGCACATAAGTCACGGTAAAATCCCTTCTCTCTTATCTTTTCATTAGTGGAGTCTTGAATTACTCTGAATGTTGAAAATCAAAATACTAAATGTGCACGCTAATGTTTTTGAATATCTCTAGAAGGGTCATCTTATTAAAGTTGCAAATATATTGGAACTATCTGGGTGGTGGCCTTTTTATTAGTAAGGTGTCTAGTTTTTTTTATCTGTAATGTAAGAATAAATAAGAATTGTTGGAGAGAAAAAGGTGTGGTTTATTATGGGACAGTTTTGTCCAAGTGGGCACTTTCACATTTAGTTATAGTTAAGTTTCTAAAGTAATTTTGGTATTAAGGTACAGCAAGAGCACAAGGGTTAGCGTAGATATGCCTGGGCTAGATTTCAGCCTTCTGCCTCCTTTATGTGTTTTATACTGTATTTCATATTCGACAATGTATTGTTAGCACTAAACAAAGGATTTTTTTTTTTTGTGTGTGTTGTGTGGGTTGCAGACAGTATGGGAGGACCAGAAGGTAAAAGAGCCAGGACGGCTTACACCCGATATCAGACCCTGGAGCTGGAGAAAGAATTTCATTTCAATAGATACCTGACCCGGAGACGACGGATAGAAATTGCACATGCTCTTTGCCTCACAGAGAGACAGATTAAGATCTGGTTTCAAAACAGAAGGATGAAATGGAAAAAAGATAACAAGTTAAAAAGCATGAGCATGGCCGCTGCAGGAGGCGGATATCGTCCATGATCAATAGAAGTACTGGGCAGTATAAGCTGACCAATTAGCATAATGTCAATACAGTACTGACTTCCAAAACTTCTCTCCCGTGTTACTTCTATGAAGAAAACCATTTCCACGTTGCCCTATCCCAATCTTTGAATCGTTAGTCTGTTTTCTGGTCGTACTGTTGCTTGTACAAGTAATCTGCTTACAGTATATTGTCTAGGAGTAACAACAATGTTGTAGGAGTAGGATAGCTTTGTGAATTATAGTTGTTTAACTTATTTATATTAATACAAGCGGTGTTACTTGAAGTAACTGTATAAAATCGTCCAGTTAAAATGTAATAATGTGTTGCACTCTGCAAAAAAGTGTATGTAAGTGTTAGTGTTGCTAAATGTCAAAATAGCTCCAAGCTTGCAATATGTATTTAATTTCAGGACATCGTCCTCTGTAATTGATATCGTAGTGTTAAATCACCGAGATGCTACCTATTCTGTGTTATTAGTGAGCAGTGAATTTTGTGAAGGATATTGCGACTCTGAACTGTATGTCTATGCTGTGCCTTTGTATGACTTTGCACGAACTCCAATAAGTGGCTCTTAGCGCAGCGTCAGTGTATGTTTTTGTGACAAAGGATAAATATATAGCCTAAAAGACTGGCAGTTTAAGAAATTCGTGATGAGCTTTTGTATTTGTTTTTAAAACTGACTGGAAGTTAAAATAAAGTTTCTATAGTAACTTTCCTGGACTTTGGCTCCCAGATAAGTTTTTCTGCTGTGTCTGCTGCCCACTGATGTAAACTGTTTCGAATACTTCCGTTTATTATAGTTTCAGTTCAAAACTCTCACTAAAAACAGTGAGTTTCTCTTAATCTGTACAACTTTGCACAAGTCATCCAGAGGGAAAACCCGTACAGCTGGGGTTTACAACAGGCAATCAAGTTGCGTAAACTTATGAAGTCGGGCAATCAACAAGCAGATTTTCTACATCTTTGATTATTGCAAATTTCAGAGTTTTGTAAGTAATAGCGAATACAGTACCTAAACATGGTGCCATATGGTAATTTAGTATTTTTACGCAATTCAAATTAAACAGGTTCTCCTCTTGCAGCATTGTTCCATGCGCCCTGTCTGCGCAAATCAGCACTATTTGCTGAACCACACATTTCCCGCTAACATCCAATTTCTTTGTTGTTGTTATTGTTGCTGATCTTGCATTTACACGCACCATCTTTATAGACATGACTTTTCGGAAACTCTATAGTTTTGGTCTGAGGAAAAAGGGAGTCCTGAAGCACATCAACCACTTTGTTCCGCAGGTAGGCGTTAGTCACGTTCTCTCAAGCACTCGACCAAAGCGTAGCGTAAACCTTTCCCAACAGGTATTTTTCACTTTATAGAGTTAACTTTACTTACCGCTTGAAGGCAGGACAGAAAATTCGCCTCTTAGTTCCTGACATCAAGGGGGATCAACACTTTTACCCTTTCTGGTTACTGAGTGCTTGTCCTTTAAAGTTATAATCAATAAACTTTTATACACCTCAGTTCCGGCTATATGACATTTGGGTGCCAAATGAATAGGGTTTTGTCTATGAATTAGATCGTAAAATCATCCATAGCACAGACTGATAGCCTCACTGGCTATAAAAAATCACGTGGTGTCATTAAAGTAAGTTTTATGGTTTTGGGGAGTTGACAACCAACAGTATATTCTACATAACATATAATCTCACTGACGCTGGACTTCATTTGGTTCCTTTGCAGATTGTGTGTGCAGACAGGCCACTCAAATGGCTAATTTTCATGTTCAGAGGACTATCCACAGCTTCACAACTCCAATGCACAGGAAAGTTGTGTTTTCTTGCAAGAGAAGGTAAATTTTTGTTGAAATATTAACGATAATTACATTTCACGAGGAGTTTTGGCCCAGTAAAATGGACTTAAGCTGCACCCAGGGTGCACTGAGGCAGAAACATGTCTGGGCAAGGTGTTGACTGTGTTCTTTGTGCTGGTGTAGAACACCTCTTTGGCAAAAATATACGAATGAGCAAGATTAAAAAGAAGTAACTTTTTGGATACCCATGTGTTCCAATTTTAAAGTATTTTCTGTGTTAGAAGATTTTACAGCATATTCAAGTAATGTTAATTAAATGTCCTGGCAGTGTTCAACACCTTAATACTTTTTTGTTATTCTTCTACTTGGTTTACTTTCCCCTGCATCCCTGTGGTGTCATTATTTAGTTGTATTTTCTTGAGGGTAGTGTTATGCCCCTGCCTCCAGTTGGTACTGTTGAGAGTTATGTATTTTCAAATTACTTGTCATACATTTTGGGAAATTGTACACCACTGATACCTTAAAGCATATTGTGAAAACATTGCAGTTAGTTCTTACTTTCAACGTTACAGCATAACTTCTGTCGTTACAAAAGGCCTGGCTTATGTATTATGCAATGCGTTACATGCAGTATTTCACGCATTCAAAAGTCTTGTCCTTATTTTCCGTTTAAACGTTAATGGGGACAGACAACCCTCTCTTGAGGGATGAAAGTACACGTGTTGTAAATAAATGTTAATACAGAAGAACATAAAAATCCTCATCCAAATAGCCTGGAATGAGGTATAGATAAAAAGGAAAGCCTTTGAAATACAGCCAGCGGAAGAGTTACTGCAACTTTAAATCTGACTGTTGTAACACCAACATTGCTTTTGGTCATTTGCAGGTTTCCCACAGTTGTGACTGACGAACCATAAACTTTATGACTGGCTTTTCATTCTTTGAAGCTTCCGCTAGTCTAGTGTGTTTTTGGAGACATACGAGTATAATTTTCTGCATCAAGACGTAGTATTTTGAATCAGAAGTACAACATTTAATAAATTTGGAAGATGTTCCTTAGTTTCTTTAGTTATTCAACATTTTCTGTAAAGACAAATCCAAACTATAACACAAGAGATTGGAGATGGCAGGCGGCCATACGTTTACAAGGGATAATACGGTAGAAAGCAATTACCCTGCAGATTTTCTACTCAAAACATTCCACTACAATTAGGTCTGTTTTACGATGTGCAATAAAGATTCAACAGTAAATAAAGGAAATCAGCACCAATATAGCTATAGTAGTTCCGGATCGGCCATGCCAATCGCGTCAATCGGTTGTAATTTCCTTCGTATTAGTTTACATTTAAATATGACAGTTTAACTTATCATCTGTGAGAACACTTAAATCCTTTTCATAATAAGGCAAAATATTTTTTAGTTTCACTTAGAGCTACACCGGCACTTTCAGTTCCAATTTATATTCCAGTTATAAAATTTGCAATTGATTTACTTGTAGTTGTCTCCCCAACCATTAGTAATAATCCATTATTTCGTTTCAGTTTGCGCAAAGGTCAGTGTTATTGATACATTTGTTAGCTCGCTGAAGTCTCGAAAACTTGTCAGTTTAAAAACCGAAACTCTGTAATATGTTTGGGAGGGGAGAAGATGGGTTATGGTGGGGGCTGGGGTTGGGGCAGAGCAGACGGGCTGCTGGGGTCGGGGGGTGTGGTGGTGGTAATGCAAGGTGTGATAAAAAACTAAACATGTAACTGTTTATTTAAACTTAGTAACAATATCCTTAGACAGAGCGTAGATATTCTGTGGGCACCAATGTAAACCTTAAGAATCGTTATGGAGTTCCTTTCGAGAAGTACGAAATTCCCGATCTTTCTTTGATCGTGAAGGCAGTTATGTATTCCTCAAACGTAGTGATTTTTCTTGTTTCTAAATTTAGTAAACATCTAGTAAGTACGTTTTGTGTTTGTGTGTCTCGTAGGGGGATAACACTTTCTGAAGAGAATTGTATGAAATTGTCTTTCAGGAGATATCTTTCTATGTTTAGGGCTGCCACCGTACGTGTGTGTGAACTGATACAATTTTAGGAGAGAGCGGGTGCTTTGTGGGAGTGTTTTACAAATTGTCTTTATGCAACGTTTTCACTGAAGGGAAATGTGATCTGCAGCTTAAAACCCATTTGTTCCATTGGTCAAACATAGATTATCAACAAATTCTTCACTTTCTGTCACCACAGAGTGTTTAATCTGAAATCAGCAATTCAGTTTTCCCTCATAAGTCTTCTATACAATAAATAAATCTGATTGGCCAGTCTAAATCTAAATCTTTCTGAAATTAAGCTATTGGCAAAGTTTTGGTTGAGGCACTTAATCCGGAGCTATCAGATATCGTGTCTTTAACGCTGCAGCTCATTAATCTGCGTTTCTTTAAAAAAAATAAAAACAGTTATTGCACGGTTTGCCAACAACTCTCTGAAGCGTAACACGGGAAAGATACAAGTGCAAAACAAATAACAAGTTGCGGGTAGTAAAACAGAGAGGTGGTCGCCATAAAATCTGGAATGTGACGTGCTTACGTTTCGTCTGTGCTAAGGGCACCGAAAGGACAGCACATTTTTCAATAGCAATGTATGCTAGTTTGTCTTTTGGACACAATAGAATTTTGCCTAAGCTTTGCAAATGAGCTTCTCGAAGAAACCCAAAGCTGGACCTACTGTTAGCTTAATGCAGTTTCCTAGTTGTAAATCTGTGCAGCTGCATATTATGTGAGATTGTGATGAATCTTTATGGGCCCCCTTTCAGCGGATTTAGGGGATCCGCAGCATTGTGATTTTCTATTTGGAAGCAAAGTAACAGATAATTGTTTTGGTCTTCATTAGCGCAGTAAAATAAATTGAAAGATTAAGCACTAATTTTTCTTCATTTGTGTATGAAAACGGTATTTCATTATCAGGGAAATAATTAGCAATATGTCCATAGCAATATCGTCATGCACGTAATAATCTAGTATCTCCTTTCCATATTACGTAATGATCAGGGTGAATATAGCTTTCACAGACTGGGTTTCTGTTTCAATGATAATTGCTATATCGGATTTTAACGATCTGGTTAGTTATCGTTGAACTATTTTAATGGAATCCTCCGCCTTCTAAGCATTACTATGAAGGCGTTTGATAAAAAAAGCAACAAAATTGAATATGCTCGTATAGGTTCAGGGATTGTATTGTATTTACATTTTATTTCTTGCTCTCGTTTTGCATGATGTGTTTTGGTACTCATCATTTACGAAATTAACTGATCCCGAGCAGGCAAACAATGTGAGGAAGCAAATTGACACTGGATAGTCTGCTGTGAACTTCTCAGCATCGGAGATTCAGTTGTAGACCTACCTTGTAGCAATTGAGGTCTATTTAACTCCTCCGTAAATGGCTTCATTAATAACTGCTCCATTTACTTGAATGCAAGATGTTGAAACATAGAGTTGAAGGATTGTGTGTTATCATTGCATCATAGTAAGATTGACATGGAGAGAAAAACACATGAACCCACTTTTTTTTATTTCATTACCTCAAACAATTTGTTTCCTAAGAAAAGTAATCATCAGCAATCCACTTCTCTAAAGAACGTATTGTTACATAATAGTAATAATACCAACATGAATTGTAAAAATATGAATTCACATTGGTTAGGATTGTAGTTCTCTTGAAAAAGTGATGGGAAAATTTAAGTTAATATTTTAAGGAATGTGCACATTGAATCAATACACAAGAGGATATTTTTAAACAAATTTTTTTGATGTTTTATTTGTTACTTCATCTGATAATTGCAGTTGCAATATCAGCTGTATAACATTGCGGTTTTTTTTCTAAGGGATGCGTCAATAATACAATCTGTCTTTGGCACAGCAATAAAACAAATTATGAACGCAACTTCGCCATTTTCTTTGCATTCTATATAGAACTTAAATCGTGAATAATTTAATTGTTCTATTAAGGCTTTTCGTTGCTTAAATCGAGGAGGGAATGCGTTCAGGAAAGAGAAAGGGGGAGAGATTTACCAGAAATTACATCTGCACACTCTGCGACTCACCAGCAGAGCTCGCTTTAGACCAAGTTCACAGTCATTTTATATCAGCATGGACTGGGAGCTCACACTTCCATTGTTCTATTAGTGCAACAGAAAAGGACGGATATACTAAAATAGACCGAAAAGCTTAATGCTTTTTTGTGCTATCTATAATTACATCAGCTGGCCGATACGGTAAAAACTTACCCATTTTGACACATCCAACTAAATAAAAGGGCCCTTGAATAAACAGCTTGCCGACAGTTGAGGTTCATGCGATTTTTGAGATTAAAGAAAGGTTTCACTTATGGGGAGGAAGCAAATGTGGTGGGGGTGAACGAGCGTGTTTTGGGGGTGGGGGTGTGGTATGGGGACAGTGTGTTCAGGATTCCCAGAGCTGAAATTAGCAGTACATCATGAAAATAGTGAACGAAAGGGGATATTATTTCAGTCCTCAGCAATGCTTTGAAAAAAAGGGCTCCCTGTACCGTGGCTGGTAGGGCGGTACAACTGTAGGTCAAAAAGTTGAGGGTCAAAAGTTTACGTTTTGCACGACTTGTAATCATCTGCTCAGACAGAGTTTGATGTCAATGTTATAGCGCGATCTTGACTATCAGCACAAAAGATAAAATAGCTTTGAGTTACTCGTGTATCATGCTATGGACTCCAGGTGAACCCGAGCGACTGAACGACCTCAATTACTGACGAAAGGAAAGAAAAAAATATTCTTTTCATGATCGAGACACGTTGTATTTCATCTTGAAAAATCGACCACGGTAATTTCTCTATCTGTTGTGTATATGCAGCAGGTAAACTTTCAACGACTGTACGAAAAATTAAGATACTCATCCCCACAAAAATAGAAATCGAATTATTTTATTTAGGTTCCTCGCTTTCTTTGGCTAGAGATTACAATACAGCAGTCCTCCGCATGTCGGAGTTCATCATGCAGCAGAGTACACCGTCTGACTGGAAGACAAAATCGGCAGTATTTAGATTGAAGTTGGAGATATTTCCCCTCAATCTGAAGCAGTTTTGAAAATGTGAATCCACTGGCATTAATTTAAAATTAGGGAACATCTCAAAAGCAAATTTGTTTGAATTGAGATTCCGTTTAAATAGTCTAATTGGAAATATGTAGAGCTGTTGTGGTATTCCTCTCAGTTTGGTCTAAATACCACAAGAATACTCCGAGACTCACGGCGACAGAGAAACTAGATTCGAAATTTTCCTGCTAAAAATTCAGGAATAACACTTATTGAGGTCCTTCTTTTTGTGAGAAAGCATCCGATTGCGCCTTTGCCTCTTTTTTTCAATCTTAAAATGTATCCCCACAACAATATAAAATTCCGTCAACACAGTCATGATGATACCTTCATTCCTAATCTAAATAGACTGTTACTATTTAAAATTAACCATGTCTCCTGATGTTTGAAATAAACAGTTACAACCCATTCAATATGGATTACGAGATTTTAGTGAAAAGAACAGGATTTGTTCGTGGCACTAAATGCTTCAGAGATTATTGCAATCCGGATGTAACAGTTGATCCCAAACCTAACCATTTCTTTGCATCCTTTCCGTTTAATTATATTGAAGATAAAAGTCAAATACATTTAACGATGCTACAATAAAGTGTAAAATCATGTGGATTCACAAAGTTTGAATGTTATACCACTTTCTTTTGTCTACACTAGACAAATTGGGAGCAACACGATACAAATCTCTTATAAAGCTATTCCGTAGTACAGCAGCCTAGTTCTTGTGCTGCAGAGCTGGAGAATGTGAGCCTTTGAAAATGTAAATGTTAGCACACAGGTAATGGAACACTAAATAAAATATTTGCGGAGAAAAACAAAAGTGATATGTATTACTGCTTTTAAATTATATGTCATATACTAAAAGTTAACAAAAGGAAGATCCTTCAACATTTGAGGCTGCCTTAAGTACATTAATCAGTACAGGAAGAAGCCATCTTTATTCGGACTCCATGCAACGTTTTCCAAAACAAAACGCATTCCACTTGAAATTTGCAATATTGCTTTAAAATAGACCCATGTCTGTATACGCAGAAAGGATGAGAGAGTGCATGATGGAAAATGAACGGACAGATAGAAAGATCATTGATTTAAATGAAAGTGATGTACTATATTTGAAGTCTCAGAGATAAAAATTAAGAGGAAAAAACGCATCAGTTATGTATGATCTGACTTCTTTTTCTCCTGAGAAAACTAAGAAATCTACTCCAAACGAATAATTTCGTTTTACTAATTTGACACTTGTTACTAGATTAGTTTGCTTGACATTAAAACGTATTCCTAAATGGCAAACAATAGTTTAAGATGGTTAGATTGATGATTTGCTTTCAAAAAAAAATTGTGTCAGTCTTAAAGCCAGAAGTTATATATTCAAAATCCCTTCCCCCTTAAATGTAATTTTTTGGGATTCGATTTTAAAAATAAATAGCAGCTTGTTTAAGTTTGGGTACCTAGAACGCACGGATGGAGGCACCAATGAGAAGAATTTGAAATGAACTGCAGATGTAGTGGTAAAACAAGGCAGTCTTTTGTGTAACTCTTTTGCAAGTTAAATTAATTTGCAAATTCCAGAAAAAAATTGTCTAATCACAGAAGCCGTTAACTATTTCTCAATATATTCCCACTTCAATTGCTTTCGGGACTGGTCAAGCCAAACATTACAAATCTATTGATTTTTGCTACAAATCGGGAGCATTTATTTACAAACATTTAAAGGCGATTATCGAGTGGGTTTTTGAAGCACTCTCATTTTGCCTAGCATCCCCCTCCACAAAGGTAATGACCTGGGCAAAACACCCTGGTATTTGAAAGAGCACTATAGGCCTTTTAGAAATGGCTAAGTCCAAGGCCGAGGTGAAATTCAGGTCACCGCGTCTAACAAATATGAAAATGTCGCCTCACGAATGGCACGCCTTGTTACTTAACAAAGACTGTCAATGTATAAGATTAATAAGAAATAAAATGCACACGGTGTCACTTTTCGGTCACTTCCAAACTTAGCTTAGCGTATCCCTTACGAAATCTCATTTCATTGAATAAAATCTTTTGTTTTGTTTCCCGTGTTGAAGTCCAATAAACGCACAGTTGTGCAGCTCTGTGGGATGTGGTGCAAGTCTGCTCGAAGATGTATCTTCGAAATGTGCCATTTTATTTGTTTTATTTTGTTTGTGAGTTGGACACCGGCTGTTTTAACCATATGCCCCAGATAGAGTGGGAAAGCAATCACATTTTCATCATGGTACAATCTATCTGAGCCGTGTTGATGGATTCAGTCGGTAAATGAAGAAATTATGACACTCCTTATCATCTAAACTACTGACTTGCTGTTCGGAGGAGAATTTAAACTGGTAAAGTCTAATTTCTGATTTATTAAACCGCCAAACAAATCTTCACTCCATGCTTCATAACTTGGCTATTTTTTAAAATGTAAAACCAATTTCCTAATTTCTACACTTTCTGAAGTATAAATTTGATATAAGCTCTTAAATATACACGTTTTGGAAATGTCGTACAATGCGTTAACATTGCTTTTCGCTTTAAAATGGCTGTAAATCGACCCAGTAGTAAAAATGTCAAATGTACACGGGCGAAGTAACACTTGGGGGTCCTGGTTCCATCGTTGTTTATTATGAAAAAAAGGACTACAGAGACAAATGAACTACATTCGCTGGTCTCAAGTAAAGCCTTATGTTTATGCTAAAAGAACCTTCATTTTCCTTTCTTTTCGAAACATGTTTCAATACATACATTGGTCCAGATAATTACTCAACAGCGTTATTTACAGCCAAGTTACGTGGTCAGAAGAAAACGATGCATACACCATTGCCTGTCAAAGAGAAGAAAACAGCAAATTTTAGAAGTTTACATTTTATGAGGGTTTTTTTTCGCGAAAATAAAGTTTTTAGCATAATCAGTCGGATTCGTCTGCAATATAAAACTTTCGTAATAATTTAAACTGTATTATGTAAGTGTAAACAGTGACACAAGATGGTCTTGGAGAATAAGATTAAACATTAAGACTAATCCCATGTAGATTTTCCTGCAAAGCCCCTTTGTATAGTGAGCAGTGGCATTAACATCTGTTAATTGCACTGGAAGTCAATTAATTTTGTGCTGGATACTTAGATGAAAGTATTCAAGTGGACGATTATACTAAGCAGCAAAACTGGGTAGGTTATTATGTGTACCCTACAACGATGTATTGTAATGGCTGGAGACGGTTCATTATAATTAATTGTTAGATTCTGTGTCCGGATGCAGAATATCTTCTAAACATTGTAACAGGGTGTTAAGATGCATCCTTGATTGGCAAGAACTCATGTTGTGAATCGATTACATTTCGGGGAAGAAGGCATAATGCATATGGCTACTTTTTGAAAAAAAATAACGTACAGTGCACCTAAATCGTCATTTTTCTATTTGGTCAATTTGATACCGCCCACCGTTGAGTTGGATCTTAATTCCAACTTAAAAACGTTATAAAACTTTATTCACTTTAACAAATCTAGCAAGCTAATTAGTTACATTTTTAACGACAGTATAGTTATGCTTCTTGGTAAATGGAATGAACGTTTGAAGGCTTTATCAATTCTTGTTGGGATTTTTGTGCTTCTAAAACGGGTTTCAGTTATTGATGTAACATGCTGTACTAGAAGCAGAATAAATCTGTGAGTGTAACAGAATCACCTGAAATCTAACTGATGCATTTAACATTTATTTATACAGAGGGGTTAAAAGGTACAGTTTTGCTAACAAATTCAAATGTACAATAGAAAGCAGAGGTTGCTAGAATTCTTAGAATAGAGTTTGCATTCAAATGAATCGTTTTACCGAATTGTTGTGATTTTTGTATTTTTCAAAGATGATGCGATTAATTTCTGCTTAATTTGGTATCTCAGCTATCACAATGTTCGTTATTTTATGCAAATCAATTTTAAAGCGTCTGAAAAACTAACAGGAGAATATTTCATTAAATAAGCCGTTTTACAATCGAACAATTATGGTAGTGTATTTTAAGTAAGATTTATTAGACTAAGAATCTCAACTGATCACATAACGTTCATGCAATATATACATCTGCAGTAAAGAGAGAAAATCCTCTACTGCTGCCTTAGTAATTTAACACTTCGGCATATACTTTGAGTTCATACTAGCCTCTGCAGAAAGATATTCGCTTTTATCTAAGACTTCAAAATGTTCGTGTTTCATTGAAATAAACCAAATATTTTCACAATTTTATAAAAATTATTCTTGCAAGCGATGAACCTTAGAATGCCTTTGACATCATCCTTGCACTAAAAAGGGCAAGCTTGTGCAATGAACTCTGGTAATTATTGTCTCAACTGTCTTCGTTTCCCCCCGAGAATGTACTGAAACATGTTGTTTGGTGCAGAAGCCTTCTTCGAAAAGAGTAAACTATTCCAGACAGTAGCGGATCTCTATTGAATACCATCTTCTGATGGTTTCTGCGTCAACATGTATTTGCAAAATTTGCATTCGATAAAACATCATAACACCATTACCCATTTTGGATGACTTTGAACTGAGCGTTTTCCTGGTTTTTCCAATTTTCCCCTTTTTATGCGATAAAATCATTTCGGGGGAAACGAGATTTTGAATGATAATATGGAATTTTTGACTGGACTCCATGCATTCATCATTGGTGTATTTCCTTATCCGGGACCCACAAGCGCTCATCCTATTGGCTGTTTGCATCACATGAACAGCTAACTTTATACACTTGACAGCAAGTAGGAGGGTTTTATGGAACAGAAAAACGACAACGCGAGAAAAATTAGTATTTTGCACTTCAGAAATTAATGACCATGAGTTCGTTTTTGATAAACTCCAACTACGTTGAGCCAAAATTTCCACCTTGTGAGGAATATTCTCAAAATAACTACATACCAAGCCAATCTCCTGAATACTACGAGCGGCCGCGGGACCCTGGATTCCATCATGAGGCACTATACCCACAATCAAACTACCCAGAGCCGACCTACAGCTTCAACAATGTCCAAGGCACTGGCAACCAAGACATGTCGCAAAGGGGTCATGTGCAGTCGCAGGCTAGCCTCCAAAATCACATACCGAGACAGAATCAGCTTTGTGAAGTGGTCCCAGTAACCACACCAGCTTTGTGTAGCCAGAATGCGAAAAATCCCAGTGCCCAGAAAGGTACTCTCAGCAAAGAGCCCATAGTTTACCCGTGGATGAAGAAAATTCACGTTACAACCGGTAAGTAATAAAGCTAACTGAAACAATTAAAATTCAATTGAAGTCGGATGTGCGGAACCCTTTCTGTAACTAGCCCTTTCATGAGATTTACGATCACCTAACAGTTAGGTCGGTAATTACAGCGCCCATAAATTTCATTGCCCTGGATCTTGCTCCTGGCCATGTGCCTTTGATGCTTTTCTAACCTAAATGCCCAGAGCCATTTTATTGCAGTAGATTGTACGCCTTTGTCAGTTCACTTTAGAAAAAGTCTTGTCTTTTAGGACCTTCATTCATGTGCATCTAATCCCATTTTCAGTTCGTGACTGTGTCTGTATTTATGTTTGGATACTTTTTGTTTTGTTCAGTGAACCCAAGTTACACTGGAGGAGAGCCCAAACGGTCTCGAACTGCTTACACGAGACAACAAGTATTAGAGCTGGAGAAGGAGTTCCATTTTAACCGTTACCTAACCAGGCGTCGACGCATTGAGATTGCACACACTCTTTGCCTGTCTGAACGCCAGGTGAAGATCTGGTTTCAGAACAGAAGGATGAAATGGAAGAAAGATCATAAACTGCCTAACACTAAGATGCGTTCTGCTAGCTCATCTTCTACAAGCCAGCAAACACAAGTATCCTCCCAGGGCCCACAGCCAGATGGTTCAACACCAAATTCATCAAGTCTATAGCTGCTTCGTCTCTCCAACCCCTCTCCCACAATATAGTTTGGACCAAAATGTGTTTGCCACATTACTGACTTGAATGAGGCGGGATTTCTTGCAGCGAATTTTTTTTCCAGGGTAGGTGCTATTAACCCCAAAAGGGACAAACATTACTGTTCTATTAACTCATTCCCTGCAGACTTTCAGAGTGTTTTCTGTTTGCTAGGATACATTCGGCATCCTTCATTACCTCCACATGAACCGATGCAAGGTTCTATCAAAGTGGCTTCTTCCCTGATATTCAAAGCAAAAAGAAAAAAAAGGACAGTGAATAATAGATATTGTGAGGAACTGTAAGCGTCATAATCACAACTAGTGTAGTCTGTTGGAATATTTGTGAGAATTTAAGAATAAGTCTGTTTTAGAAAATGAGAAAGGCAGCAATATGTGTGGATGTGGAACATGGTTTTAGAGCAAATAAACTGTCCAGATGCTACATATATAGGAAATAAATTATGTCGCCAGCGCTATTTAAGGTGTTTTATTTTAAACCTGTATTCTCTATATAGTCGTGTTACTGATATCAGTATAACGAAGGATCTTATACAGAAATTTCAAATGAGTGGTTGTATATTTAACAATTTTGGTACAGTCCAAACTGTGACGAAACCATACAAATCATTGGTAAGATTTGTGTATTTTTCTGTGGATATTTCAGTGTGCTATGTGCAGTGCCAAATGTTGCTAAAACGAAAGACAAAAATTGCAGTGTAAAATGAAGCCACAGGCTTTAAATAAATGTTAATTCGTGGACCAGCTCAGTTTTTATGTGTACAAATTACTTCCAGTCAGGATTTTGCGAACGCTCAGCGAATTGTTTTCTCGAATCCATAACGGGGCTATGCATTTAACTGATTTGCTTTCAGTATATTTTTGTTCACATTCTTATTTTCAAAATAAAACCTTCTAACTCCTCCTCCCAGGTCCCTCAACAACCTCTCCCTCTGCCCCCACTCCCTCCCCCTTCACATACGCAGCAAAATATTTCATGTGGTTCTGAAGAATAAGTGGGCGAAAGAGGATAAATTACTGCATGGATCTACAATTCGTCTTTCTACAGCCTTTCCACATCAAGTTCTACGTCACCGAGTCGTAAATAATGCAGTAAAATGTGAGGCTATCAAATAATAACTCATCGATAAGGTGGCAAACCCAGCTTTTTTATCGCCACAGATTCTACATTTCTGATCCCGAAATAAAGTATGATTACGTGGGATTATTTTTAATTCCACTTTGCATTTAGTTGTGCTTTCTCATGCATTACGTAATGGAATGTGGCAACTGCATTTTAAATATAAAATGCAATCATTGTTTGTCTTCTTACATTTAATGATGGCTGATAAACTATAAACTGCAGGATTAAATATTCCAATATATACTTTGACTTCATTTTGTTAATCTTAGGGGAAGGGCGTTGAATAATTAAGCAAGAGAACATAAAATTGTAACTGGTGACTTCAAACATCATGAAGGATGATAATTCTATTATGATCTATGTTATTGATTGCTAAAAGGCAACATAAGTATCAGACTTACTAGGGAAAAGGAACAGCATATTGGAGGTTTTATCTTTAAGAAACAATGGATTTCTTCAGAAGTATCTTACTGATTTTGATTCATCTGTATGTCCCAGCAACATTTAATGTTCACAGCAGAAATTTCGTTAATTGCTAGCTTTTTCCTCTTAGAAATGTGTTGCATTGTTAGTGCAAACAATATAATTGAGCAGAACGCACCACTCTCGCGGCGGGGAAAATATACATATTGGCTGTATTTCCTCCTATAACTTGTTTAAAACTGAAGTGCGCTGTAATAACCCAAGATTTTTCACAAAAACATTTTGTCAAAACTATCAATAAGGATTATACGAACATAGACTCAGTTTCCACAACTCCTTTCAAAAGAAAAATACATTTTGCTGCCCAGAATTGTTGCGCTTTTACAAATGACAGAAAAACTGCTCATATTAACAGGCATAGACGGTTTTGAATATGTTTTGTATTGTGGTTTAAGAGGACTGCAAAAGTATATGGAAAGACAAAGAATTGCACGATGAGAAACTTCACCCCCATTAGGCAGTTGAGCTTGCTTATCTGTAAAAGGAATTTTAAACAGATTGAAAATACCAGATTTTGCTCGGAATCATTAATCACCTCATTCAATAAATACTTCTTTGTATACTTCAACAGCAAGTCTGAAGGGCGTTCTTTTGGAAAAGTGTGTGGACACATTGGATTCTCCTGAATAAAATGTGGCCATCTCGACGAACACCATTTTTTCCCAGTTGGAACAGTCCTCGAGTCTCTTGCTGGACAATTTTTATTACCACAGAAAATTATATGTACGTTATCATAAGTAAAGGATAACTATTTTCGTCAAGCCTGTTTTGGAAAAGGCAAGTTTATTAAAACTTATCCTTTATATGGCCAATCTTTAGCTGCGTTCAGCAAATGAAAACCCTTTTGAATCTTTACTTCCTTTCTCTTTGATGTTTGTAGTTTATTGTAAATCGAACGGTCTTTTGTAATAAAAAGTTGCATTGTTTGTCAACGGCTGGGCAACCAGAGTGAGTTCACAGAGAGGACAGATTTTCTGACCGATTAGCCGCTTTTAGCGGTGCAGACTGACCCCTCAAACCCTTGACCTTTAAAAAAGATGGACAGCGCTCTTTCCACCATTTCCTACGCCTGCAGATAGGGGTTAAAATGTATCTTGTTAAAAAAAAAACTTACAAAGATATCCAAATGACATATCCTGGAAACTCATATTTAAGTTCATGGCGATAATGAGAGAAAACGTTTTTTATATATAGTGTGTCTGTGTACGTATAACTAATTTATGTAGTGCATTTTATTCTGTGGCAATTGCCTGTGTAAAAGAGTATTTGATGATAATTTATATGTAACCTGCAAAAGTCTGTTTAAAAACAATCCTTATGCTTAGTAAGAAACAATGCTTGTTTTAGGTCGTTTAGTTAATAATGTTTTGTAGTTCATTGTTGGCATGATTTAAAAGAATGGTTCAAATTCTTCCCTTGTTACAGTGAGATAATGCATCCATTAAGAAGGGTCTATTGTTATGATTATTGAACAGAGGAGTAACGAGTATGTTTTGTATCAAGTATGAGATTGCTTTCTAGGAACCATATGTGTATGTGTGTAGCTCTTTGTGGCCGGCATTTTGAAAATTTATATGTAATTGCTTTAATAAACAAGAATGCAACATTTCGTTTTTGTTGATTAGACCTAGGTACACGCATATAAAAATGTATGATTTCAGCAAAGTCAAACTTGACAGTTTGAGTTTGAAGCACATCTAAAATAATAAGCGAGATTGTCACTAACCGTAACATTCTATGGGTCTGTTTTTAATCAACTGTAGAACATGATGTTCGTTGCATATGCATTATGTTAATCATAGGGTCTCAAATACCAGACACAATACGAAAACTAATACACATTTGATTGGTTTAATAAAGTATCGACTATGGCTAGTAAGGGTCGGTTTAGTGTCAAATTTAGCAGCCTCTGGGGGATGTAAAGGCATACATGAAAGAGTTGGTCTTACATGTGACTGTTATATATGCAGGGTACTGTAACAGTGAGTTCAATATCAAAATGTCAGGCAGACAATAAAGACAGCTTGAAGAAATGCCCAAGAATATTGGACTGAAGCAGCTCGAGCTGTAGGTGACACAAATGGCAGACCTGTCAAATATGGGATCAGCACAGGCCAGTCATTTTTGTATTATCACTTACCAGCAAGCTTCCAAAGACTAAAAGAAAGCCAAAGCAAAAAGATTAAACTAAGAAGTGAAGGAAAGAGAAAAAAAACTCCACTCTCCAAGATAAAGGGTCACGCGTCTCCTCTGTGTATGTATTGAAATTTTAATCTCCCCAGTCACGTGACTCATTAAATAATTAATGCAGCCGGTCCGGAATAGATATGTAGTCGTCAGTATTCGCACTAGATCTGTTTCAGTCTGATGTGAAAATGAACTTTCCTTAAAAATAAGTCTATATTTGGAAGACCTGTCTTAGAAAAGGAAGAGGCGCAAATCAGACGCGAACTGTGGTGAGTAGTGTCTTTATGATCTGTGTTTTATTCTCTATATGTTTTTACAGTTTTTTTAATTTCTTAATACTGTCATAAATATGATGAATAGCGCCCTTTAGTATTCAGATTTAAATCACGGCATGTCTGTGATGGTGTTTAGTCAGTCTCTCGCGTGTCAGTAATATTTTAGATTTTTTCATGATTAATTGCAACAAATACAAACACATATGATGATGTTCTAGTTCACAGTATGTATGCCTGGATACCACGGTGTAGCTGTGCTGCTTTGTTCAATTTTCCTGTCGTTAATAAATCACCATCTCTTACATGCGCAGGGCTGAGAGGCAACTGTAGACACCAGCATTTGGAAATGAAGAGGCATAAGTTAAATTCCTCTATGATTCATTAATTTGAGCGATTTACAATAAGTGGCAGAGTTATGATGCTCCAGCAAGCGCACTAACATATGTAATTCTGAGCAAAGTGAAGCACTTATTCTAGCTATGTACGATTTTTCTGGTAGATGGAAAAATAGGCAATCCTGAGCCGAACAAAACATATCAGACCAAATGGTATAGAGAAACAGCTGTCTTTATTTTGTTTTGGGACAAGGTAATGATTCCGCTTATAGTCAAAATCTTGAATTCCTTCATTTCCATTGCATTGCCTATATAAGCTCTACACTCATTTGGATAGAGTTTACCCTCGTGAAAGGATACATTTGATCTTCCTAAAGATCTTGCTGCTATTTAACAGGTGCATTTGATGTTGATACCTGACCAAATTAGATCCAGGAGCGTGCGTTGTTTGCACTCATAATTGAGTACCACTCCTAATATTTACAATAAAAGATCATTAGTAAAAGTACATAGCGCTTAATTAAATGTCTCATCACTCCAGTCAAGTACATTTTATTATTCTTACTATTGACTATGATCAATCAAAACAAGATAATTGCAATAGCACAGCGGCTGATACAATGTCTTCAGCTTCCGGGCTGGCATTCCAATAAAACACGTCTGTAATTGGATCCACCTCCTAAAATAAGAGCAATACACATACATTATGAGTTCCTATTTGGCAACAGATACGCGATGCTTTTTTTTAAAACGACAATAAATGTGCTCCTTTTAGCTTTATTTTGTCTCTGTCCAGAATCAAGACTCGTTCCAGGCTAGTCTAATTGGGCATTGAGGTGATCTAAGAATCCCAATTTAAAAGGTAAAACATTTTGTTTTGATTGTTCTGCTGAAATTGGATGTTTGATTTCAGGTGGAGGCGTTTTATTTTAGTGTAACAGGTGGTTTGGTGCTGCAGTTCATTGGAATCGGTGTCTACCATATGAAAACGTAATTTATTTTTTTCAACTTTGTTATAAGATGAGAGGTTCCGTGCACTCGGCAGAGCTGATTCCTTCCACGTTGAAATGTCTCACCCAGCTGCAAAAGGTAGTCATGGAGTCATTGAAGAGTAGCAGGTCGGTGGTTATTTAAAGAAACAAAAGGCGAGGGTAATTCCTTTGTTTGGGGTTCACCACAACCTCAAATAAATCACTTCAGCTAGAAACATAAAGATGATTTAGTTAAAACAGTGTCATATTATCGTATGTAAAGGAAAGACAACGTTCCCTGTGATATTATGAAATAATATATCTTTCATTTTGAACTCTGTATGGATTTGAAACCTATAATCAACTGGGGAGAGAATCATTAAACATTTACTGTAATTGCATAGGGTATGTTAGTTTGTTGTCATACAGACTGCCAAAATAAAAGCACTTGTAACCACATTTGAAGGCTGGTATGTTTTGTACAACCAACCATTCAATTTTCAATGACACCTCAATGCACTCTTTCTCAAAGTCTGCACTTATAATGTTAGTATCCAATTCTATCCCATTTACTTTTACATATGAATTTAAAGCCAGAATGTACAGCTGTAAACAACAAAATATGTTGAAGACGTTTGAACCCTCTCGGTTAGAGGTGAACGTAAAATATGTCAGATTTCTTTGTTTTATTATTAGGAGACTGGCAACAAAAATGCAACTAAGAACCATTCTCCCTGTTCCGTTTGTTCCATCTTTGTGTTTGGTGTACATAGCTGAACGCACAGACTTTCCGATTTGATTTGCAATTTTAACGAAAAACGAAAAGCATTGTTCGGAAATAAATAATTCTTTTGTTATGATTTACACATCTGAAATCCAGTTCAAATACAAGTTCTATACAAGTACGAGAAAACACGCCGAAATGAAAAGCACATCGAAATATTCTTAAACCTTTTATAAAGTAAATAAGTTCTCAAGTAAGAATAGACAGGGGTGGGAATGTAGGGTAAAACGGCAAAAACATCTTTAATTTTCCAATACTCCATAACAGAATACCGAACAATATGTCGGTTAAAGGTAACATTTTGTCGGCTTTAAATAGTATTGTTAGACTTTGTCAAATCCCAGATTAGCAAGTGTTCACACTTCCTGCTTAATTTAAAGGGCTATTTGATAACTAGAGGCGTTTTATTGCGGGGCGCAATAAATTACCCAACCTTAATGTTTTGTTGTGATGGGTTTGTCAATTGCACCCGCATACAAAAATGAGTTTCTTACAAGGCCACTCTTAAAATGGAAGTAACAGGACTTTATTGATGCGAGACTGGTTTGCTTTTCAGATAGTTTTTGAATGAAGTTTATATAATATAGATTAAAATAAAACAATTGTTTTACTGCGATCAATCTTCTGTTGGAATGTTTTCTCATGCTCCAGCACGATCAGCGTCGGCCTAAATCTCACATCAGATCCTGCTTCATTTTTTATTTCCCAGCTTCAGGGTCGAATGTTTTCAACTAAAGAGTTTATTTGTACTGAGGAATAAATAAATAATATTTAGCCGTGCTTAAACAGTGGGAAAATGTTATTTGTTTATCCATAGTTTTAAGTGTATAACGTACATATATCTAAATGATGCTTAAAGAAAATGAAGAGTAAAATGAATCGTGTAGCAGTGATTCGTGCATAACGTGCAAATCCCATTTGCCCTGCCATGCTGTTCGGCTTCAACCTTACCTTCATAACGTAATGGGACTTAGCTCTCCTCAAGACTAGAGCAGCTGTTTCCTAAATCAACTCCGCATAAATGTACTGTCAGTTTGCAAGCATACTAGCCTAACAATGAACCACAGAAACTTTATTGTATGTGCGTAATAACCAGATTTGATCCAGATTCTGCTAACAATTATTTTTAAGTCACGTGAACGGATTCCATAAGGGTTTTCTTCCCCCTCGATTCGGCCCAGCTTGTTTGCGGGGCTCCTTTCCTCTCTCTCGCTTTAATGCATAGGTCTCACCGAAAACCGGCACCCCCAGACGTCTGCAGAAACGTATAAGGCAAACAGTTTGTATTTGCAGGGCGCCGAATCAGTACGAAGGAGTGAAATTTCCTTCTCCTGATGATCTGATTTGAAAAGGTTTTGCAGAAAGAGAAGCCGTCCAGAGTAAACAGAGTGCAATAAAGTCAAAACAGCCGGATAGCCTGGAAAATGTAGACTCTTCGGTATGCGTTGAAACTTCCCTCCTGTAAAGCACATTACCAACTTCGCAGCCGGCTTTATCTATCCTTTGACGATGGTTTGGATTTTGCTGAATTCTCAGGTAAGCTGGAATGTTTCTTTGCAGCTCTGTCTATTTTGCAAACAGGATAAATTCCGGCCCAGTTCGTAATTAATGGCACAAAACTTGACTCAAGAGAAGTTGTTGCTTACCGCCAAGTCTGATAGCTCTTTCTTTTCGGATTCTCCTCTTCTTCTAATACACATTTCCATTGTAGTTGTGCGCTGGAACATCTCAAGGTTGAACTTTGCACATTTAAAATTTGTACTGGTATATTAGTCACTATAACAAGAAAACTGATCAACTTTGGATATTTTAGCCTCAAGCCTCTTTGAGCTGCGAGAGCGATTTATTGCTTTGATATGTTCCACTTGCTCAACAACAGTGACCTAAAGATTTCTTCCAACTTTAGTCTCTGAATAATCGATTTCGTCTCTGTTCCAATTTCAGGAAGTTTCTTGCATATTTCAAAGGAACACGGTTTAAGTTTCAATCAATCTATCTATCTATGTATAGACATGCATATGCTTATACGTATGTGCAAATATTTACGTGTGTATATGTTTACATTAAATTATTTCAGTATCAAAATGACGAACTTCACTTCCTAGCGTTCATCAATTATTCATTAATGTTTTACGCTGTGTTGAGAGTTTAACTATGGCCTTTTGTTCAGAGGGAAAATGAAGAGTCTATAACCTTTCCGAAATTTGCTGATGTTGGGAAACCAAAAATTCGCCTTACTTTTGTGCCCTGACACTTTGAAGTTGCTGCAATGATTATAATTTAACTCAGTTTATTATTAGCTATACTAAGCTGTCCAACTCAAACTTTGAACGCACGTAAGTTTCCCACAACTGTAGAAAGGGACGTTTAAAAGAATCTCAATCATTTGTGATACCAAGCAATGCTTGCTACTAAGGAAACTACATAAAGGAAACGGGCCTAAGCTGGGTGCAGCAGATTGTAGTGAATGTTTATTGAACAACCTTCAGAGATGTTCAAAGATTACAATAAATAGAAGGAAGCAAAGGTGAAAGGGGCAAAATAAAATATAAGCAACAGAAAGAAGGGTCCCTGTTCAAGACAGACTGTCCATGAAGAAGGCATGTCTTAAAATAGACTAGGGACTTTGTAATCATGAATCTCTAAGATGAAATATAGTTTGAATAACTTCAGACATATAGAAGTTGTGGATGAATTGATATCAAACACTCCGCACTTTCTGTTTGGCCCTAAACTTTCATATGTGTTGCACTAAACTAGAGTGCATCTTATGGAGAAACAACCAAGAGATTTCAATTCTATTCCACAGATACACAATGATCTTTTTTTCATTAATGGTTCCTCATAACAATCAACATCTATTACTTGGAGTCTATTTTGCTCTTTTCTTCCACAACAAGTTCCATGCATCACTCAATTGGCAGAAAGCGTGTAAGCACAGATTTTGCATGAAGGTCCCTACAGACGCGATTTACGATTCCACTGGTAAAGAAATCAGAATCGTTAGATCGCTGTCAAGTCCTCTCCTCATCCTGTGCTACACTCAGTAAAATCAACTATGCTTTCTGGGACACTGCTTTGTCTTTGTCAGGTAATTATAAACCTTTTCTAGTTTGAATAACTAGCATGGTGTAACGTGTGGGTGTTGAGCAAGTCCAGTACAATGGCACGCTCTGAAAAGGGAGATTCGTATGGAAGCTTAACCATTGTGGGGCTTCCCTGCTTATTTGGCTGTTTTGGTCGAAAATGTGAAGTTCTCCCTTCTTCATAGGTCGATTTAAACACCCGTTCCGGGTTTTAATGTGTTACAAACAGCTATTCATCTGTTCCAAGTAGTTGAGCCTACAGTCTCGGATTGGGGTCTTTTACACTATGAGATACAGACGACACAACTTACCGTATCGTGGATTTCCTGCACAGAATTATCGCGGAGCAACCTTCTGCAACATCAACAAAACTCTACTTAAGAAACTTCCTAGGTTTTGTTGGGTAAAAAGTTAGGTTTTGCTTGAAAAAGGTGCTCCTTTAATTATCTCCCAAATTCAAATAAAAGGATTTAAGTTGACGTATGACCACGTGAGCACATAATACAGCGCATTATTGTGGCATTTGGATCGGAGACCTATGCTGGCTTCGGCTGTGATTACGCTTTTCCACTTTCTGTTAAGAGCCAGCTATTTTCTTCTAAAGAGATTGCACTCTGGGCACTGGATTTCACATGAAGGAATATATGCGAGCAGGACAAGATGCTGCATTTAGCGGAATGGATTTTATTTTGAGGTATTCCAAATGCTTCCGTTGATTGTTCATTAATATGGTGAGTTATTGCTGTTCAAGGCAAAGGTCAGTGAAAAGACTTACGGGTGTCAGAATGTACCAGAACACGCTTAGATTTCCCCTTATCTCTTTGCTTCGGCACATAATCCATTTCCAATAACATTTTCCCTCCAGATGGGAAATAAAAAAGAAGTTATTTCGTGGGATATTGCTCGGATCACATGCATGTGTTGTTCCTTGAAACACGAACAATCGAATATTGAAATCCTGTCAATGGCCGCTCTCTGCTCGAATATGTACAAACAAAACATCTTATGTTTATAACATTGAATGAGATGCCAATATATCTGGCTTTAATAGCTGTTAATAGGAATTACTACTGTATCACATGAGGATAAACACATTTATTTATTCTGACATTTTATTCATTAAGTAATGTGCTTCAATGAACGGTTCTTCGTCCATTTTAGAAATCCAGTCAGCTAATTTGTGGATTGTAGTGTGTCTGGAATGAGGCTATTTAGGTTTTTCGTTATTATGTGTATTGTTGAAATCTCAATGAATCACGTCGCTTAATAGATGGACATTACATTTTATGCTTCTAAATGGGACGTGTAGTGATTTTGTGAAAAAATAAGACTGTTAATCAAAGTTTGACATTTTAAAAAATCATTGTTGGCTAAAAATTGCCCCTATTTGCTCATCTTCACAATGCTAGCGTTTGATTAATGTAAAGTATAAAACAGATTGAATCTGGGGATTATTTACTAGCAGGCCGTCATTGCACTGGAATACCGATTGCGTGAAGAATTTAACGAAATAAATTAAAACGTGATACAGATAAGCCAATTCTGCTTTTTACTTAAAAAAAGTACTTGCAGGACGATTAAAAGGTGGAAACAGACTCGTTATGAGATGCTGGGGGTGCAAGTGTTATATAAAATTGCGCCCACCAGCGAGTCCTGCTCAGGAAAGGTCAGGGTGTTGCGATTTGATTTATGTTTTCGGTGTGCTGGGACAGCCGTGCGAATGCAATCTGCTTTAACGAATGCTTTACTTCTTTTTATATATGACAAATCACAGTGGCAATTATTGATAGCCGGATCGGTACCCGACTGAAATTCTACCAATCGCGCAAAATAAAATCAGATCGGAAGGGGTGGCGCGGGGAGTGGATTAAAAAAAAGACACTGTAAATAATTAAAGTTATTTTCTGTCCTACATAATCGGCCCTTCGCCACACATATCTGAATGCAATATATTTATTTGACGATATCACTACTTTATAAGCTGTTATTTTTCGAAATGTACAATACCGGTGAAATTAACGTTGTTGGAGTTGGTATTTTTGTCCTTGTTGACTTTGAGCTCTTCTTTCGGCCTCTGTATTTAATTTTTTGCATTATATCGGCAGTGTTTAGTGTCGCCCCACTCCATCCGACCGGCCCAAAGTTGAATGCAAACACTGGGCAAAGAGTTTTGGTAAATACATTTAAAATTTAATTACAGTTCGGTTACACGTATTTTTCCCCTGATTTATTATCCAGTCCTGGTGCATATTTGACAGGGTTAAGCACACATAAATAATACAAGTATTTTACAGTGAGAGCAAATGAGAGTTGCATTAGCGCAGATGTACTTGAAAATGATACATACATAAAGTGCCTTATCACCGATATTGCACAGAAAATCCTCAAGATCCATTCTCGGCTTCTAATATTCATATAATATTTCACAGAAAAGCCTCCACGTCGTTCAGAGAGCATTTTTCCTTTGATCAGAGGGCTATGTTAGGTGTAAAGTTGATTCAAAGAGCTAGGTTGATTTATTTTCGTTCATAATCCACGCAGATTTACTTGATTTAGTCAAGGAAGGGTTGCTCAATTTCTCATTCAACCTACGCCTTTTTTTATTCGTGGCAATTAATGGTTTCTTATTTCCGTTCCAGACTATATTCTAAATAACAATTCTACAGCCAGAGACTTTTCAGCGAGACTGACGAACTTTCGGTGAGTTGTCTGTACTATTCTGAATTTTAAAAATACGTTATGATCGTTGGAATCCCACACGTTAACATTATAAGAACTCGGATTTATTAACCCAACCGCAAGCAACCAGTGAAATAAAAGGACCACACTATGCTTTTATATGTAGATTTCAGGATAGGTCAAAAATAAACATAAATGTATCAATTACAGAGGGAATTACATACAGCCATAAAGCGTGCATTCTAGGCCGTAAAATGGATGCTAATTCATAGCAAGCAGAACATCAAAGTATTAAAGATGGCTGTCGGAAATATAAACTTTTGGTTATGGTCTTCCAATCTCGAGCAAGATCTTTTTAGAAATGGAAGTTACGGCTGTTGTAATAATTATCAACACCTTGCATAACAGCATAGCATCTTTTCGCTCAAATCAACCCATACGTTCTCTGCTCTTATAGTTTACTTTCTTTCTGCAAAACTTAGCGACTGGACGCAGGGAGAGCCGGCAGTCTCGAATGGCGTAAACCGTTTCTGATCCAGAATTTTAGTTCGCTGTACCCAGCAAGCTCCCGATGATGTTGGAAGACACCCTCACGTAAACCGGGCGCTTTCACTTTCTATCCAGCTGCTTCTAAATTAACTCTCACTGAACTAGCCTAAGTCATAACAAGTATTTTTTTTAAATCCAGCATTCGTGACGTTACTTTATGCCACCTTCCTACGATCGCCAGAGAAAGAGGGAAAAAGTTGAACTCAGCACTTTAAGAAAGTGCAAGGGCTGTTCATTGACAATAAAGTTCTTCACTACAGATAGAACATTGAACGGCTTACTTGAAAAGTTGCAAACGAGTGAATTTTTGTCCCTATCTTCCCTCCTACGCTGTTTGGCTTCCCCTTTCATGCAGTTGCATCGCAATAAGCGATAGGAGCAAGTGTTTTCACTTTAGTGCTCTGTTTACAGCCTTAGTGCATGAAGTCATAAATCTTACGTAGCCATAAACGACAGAAGCATTGGTATGCATTAGGGGTGACTATAGCTCCTTCAATTCTCGCCTCTTTTGCCTCGGTTTTGCTTCCCTTGTGTAACTTTTCGCTCCTATGTCTGAAACACTTTTACTTCAGCATTGTTAACACCTTTACTTCATTGAATAGGGAAGAAAAAATGGGCCCTGCTTTAGAACCAATTGAACCTGATTGAAACAAGGCTGTATTTTCACCCTGGTGCCATATTTCCTCCGCACTATTCTCAAGCTGTACTTCAAACAAAGGCTTTTCTTTACAACAAGGTGTTAATAAAAGTTAGTACAGCGCTATCAACGCGGAAGATTAAACGCATACTCGAATAGTGTATTCCTTTATTTTATGTCAATATCAATATTATTAAAACGTGATTTGTTTCAAAGAGTGAGATTTTGATTCAAGTTATGATTATAAAGATTCAATGATTGCCAAACCAGTGTGCTTGTGTCCTCCGCGTTGGTTAATTTGCATAATTTTCACTTGTGACGCTATGTTTCGGGGGAGTTTACTCAGCCTGTCTGTTCAGTACTGCCAGACAGCAAACTTAAAATCCGCGCTTTGACCATTCAATATTCATAAGAAACATACCCCATTTCTTTGGTATTAGATAAGAGCAGCCAGGAAAACTGATAGTAGTCTTATCTTCCTGACCAGGGCACGCTACCATAATCACAGGGCTGTCCATCCAAAAGCTAGAGTCCGCTCGCCTGTTCTTTGCTGCTCTACCATTTTCCCTTCCCCATTTGTCGTTGTCGTCAACCAGTGACTTTCAGCGTGTAAGAGTAAACTGTTTGCCTACATTCTACTTAATTTGGAAGTTTTGAAACTCCTGCTTATCGATTTCCCTGGTGAATCTGCAAATATTGTGCCGTGGTCTGCGTCTATCGTCAGAGGCTAAGGTAAGCTGGACACAAATAGGCTATCACTGGTGAATGGCGGAGTTTATGTCCCAGTGATTTATGACCATATGACTTAAATCTCGGTTCAAGAAGAGTTCACATGGTATAGCTTCCTTTCATATCCTGACTGATACCCGTAGGCTTAGAATTCAAATCTTTTAATTCTGCTTTCTGTTTCTCCTGCACCGCTGATATTGTTTTCTACATTTTTCCAAGTTTTGTGAATTTATTGCAGCCTACTGTCTCGCCTGAGGCATCTATACACATACACCTAGAAGCATTTGCTATTGCTCTGGTAGAATCTGAGCTTCAGTGCTTTCTTTTCAGCTTATTTTTTCTTTTACCCTGCTTACCTTGGTAGTGTGGTGAAGAATGCCGAAAGCTGTTTATAGAGGCAATTGTATGTATAGATATATATCTCTGCCAGGGTTAGCTGGACAAATAGTTGGACAAGGTTCACATTAAAGCGACACATATCAAAAGTTTGTCATTACTCCATTTCACTCCAATAGAGAAAGAGTTTTTTTTCTGCTTTGTTGTTTGATTGGCAGCGAGGGTAGTATTTATGTGAGAGTTACATAGTTAGCGTCTTAGAAATACAATGTGTCAGTTTACAGTCACAAAGCTTTTCTGTGTTGAAACATATAGAGAGAATAGGAACAGTACTCGGGTGATATTTTCTTTAAAAAATGAAGGGAGCAGTGAAGAAATTGGTTTACGAAATACTAAGGTGTAGTTGCGTAGGATGAGATGCTTTTGCACAGGTGAGCAAGCTTGTGTTTGCTGTTCAGAAAAAAATGGCGGAGACACGTAAGTCTGAGAAAGTACAGGAAAATTTTGATGTGTGGGCACCGATTATGAAAGATTGCCAATAACTCTTTTCACAATACGAGGAGCAAACCACCGCATTCCCCCCTCACAGTTTATACTTTCGTGCTTGAGAACGAATACTGATAATATAGCAAGAATATTTCAAAATTAAATAAATTATTGACAACTCTTTAAAAGTGAAACCCATAATCAATAACTTGTGTGCTACTGTCCTCTACAATAGGAACCAGCTCGTTAAACCAATCCAGAGGCCTGTGGCTTCAGGCGCAGCACAGGTCAGTTGGCTGCTAACCACGCTTTTTAAAAAACGGTTTCAACTTTACAAAATGCTTCGGGAGCATTCAGTGCTCCAACTCACAACAATGGCAGACTATTCAGTTTAAGGACAGGACAGTGCAAAGATTTTTCAAAAGCACTTTCGTTGTTTCAAACGTTCAGTCCCAGAAGCAGCAAAATGCAATTTTAAAGCTATGCTTAATACCGTTCAGCCCTACCATACCGACCACGTCAGGTTCGCTTTCTCTTATAGCTCTAACAACTACAATTGCTTTGAAGACAGCTCCAAGTTCACGTCATATTCAGTCGAATGTTGTGAAATGCGTTTTATAGAAACTTAAGCGTGTATGAAATTAGAGAAGGTTGGACAACAATTGAACACAACATGCGGAAACAGTTTTTTTAAGTGACCAGGTTTAAAACGTGCAGTGAAGCCCTATTCACCCGGAGTTTGAACTATTTTCCTATCAGCCCCACAAAATGGATGGGCTCGCTTTACCAGTGCATTCTCCTTTGTATGAGTGCGGCGGCAGCAAAGAAAGGCCTAGCAAACAATGGTTTGCTCGCCTAGGCCATATATCTTATTTAAAATAAAGAAAAATCTCCTAATGACAATCGATCTACAGTTATCTTAACTGGCTAAAAAAACGTACATCCGTGACAAAATATTGGATTTTTTTTTGTAAATAAAACAAAGATCTATAGGCCTAAGGTGAGCTTTGTATCTTCAATGCGAAAATAATTCTGTTTTGTCCATTTAACTAACTTAATTCATGGTCGACGCAGATTAAACTACTCTTTAAAAGAGATATCAGGTTTGCAGTTTTTAAAGATGATAATTAAATGACCTGCGTGAATAGAATAGTGTTAAATTTGCTGCCGGTTTCTCATGATGCAGGCGCTTTCTGTGGGTTGGGCGCTCAAGTTTTCCCCCGGCCCAGTGACCCCGATACATCAAATTCAGAGTAGTTTCAGAGACAGAGCCTATTATCGTTTGGTTGGAAGAAAAGTTCACACCGTGGTCATGCAGAAGTACGCCAGTTTTTCAGGTTCCTGCTCTCTTCCCGATCCATCATGCTTTTAGCAGGTAGAATTCAAACATTAAAAGGAACGCTTGGAAATTTCCGCCAGACCAAATGGTGACCTGCTAAAAGTGGAACCAACAAAAAGCAAGACATTTCTGCCTGCCACTGTGGATAAATCTGGGGTGCAAAAGCAAACACAAGGTTAAATGCCATGATGTCAGCCACAGTGCACTTAATGTAGTGTTTGTTCCACGTCCCCGGTGAGAAAGGCGAAAACAATATTTTAAAACGAGGCGCTCCTCTTTAGAAGCAGTTTCATTACAACACCAGCGGTGTCTATTACAGGAGAGGAATGTACAAATACACGTTAACACAACCATTCAGACAGCGGAAACATCTGTAAATACCTTTCTTTTAATACTTTTTAAACAATAGAGTTTAAACACAGCGCCACAACGCTAATCATTTGAATTTAAGTAAACGCATACATAGAGCTTAGATATATTGTGTTTCCATGCAGAGTTTTAACTGCAAAAGTTGGTTTGTTTCGTTTTCACTTTTAAACAAATCATTAACTAATCACAGTGGCTTAAATTTCACCGCATTAGATCTGCTTGAGTTGTAACAAATCACATATTTATAATTGAGTCTTGTTATGCACATATATACATAATGCAAGATTTTAACGTTCTCTAAACGCTGGCTTGAAAAAAGTCTTTATACACAAGTACAGTGGTTCTTCTTTTCAACTACCTAAGAAGAAGGCTGTCCTTGGTTGAACCTACCGAAATCCATGTTTCATATGAACCTTTATGTAGTATTATATTTCCTCGATGAGACAAAATAAAGTCAAAGGCTGGAATCTGCAGCTACCGATCGTTTGCAGCACAACCACACTGAGCAGTTACTGCTGAGAGTCAGTTTTAAACCATTGTTACACGCAGGTTGCCCAGGGCTAAAGCTGTGTGACCAAATATTACCGCACACTTTTTATGGCTTTTCATGTCAGTTGCTATTGAGAGTAAGATGGATTTGTACTATTTCGCCATTACTGTTTTGTCTCTTGTAACCCCAGGTCTACCCGAAGAGGCCATTGGAAGAGGAGAGTCACGTGACACAGGGTGCCAATGTTATTCTATAAGGGTGTCAAGACCCTGTCATTTTGCGAAATAAATATTGGGAAACAACGAGATGCAAAAGGCGACATACTACGACAGCTCTGCAATTTTCGGAGGTTACACATACCAAGGAGCAAATGGTTTTAACTACAATGCCAGTCAACAACAATATCCTCCTTCTTCCCATGTGGAAAATGACTATCATCGGCCAGCCTGCTCTCTGCAGTCACCGGCTAACACTGTCCCCCACCACAAACCCAACGATATCAATGAAAGTTGCATGCGAACCAGTGCCAGCCAACCGAGCCACCACCCAGTCATTGCAGAGCAGCAGCAACAGAAGCAGCCACCACCTCCTCCACCACCACCACCACCATCTGTCTCACCACCCCAGAATACCAGCAACAACTCGACCCAGGCCAGCACAAACAAAAATCCTACACTTACCTCACAAACCACCATCAGTAAACAAATATTCCCCTGGATGAAAGAGTCGCGCCAAAACGCCAAGCAAAAAACCAGCAGTTCCAGTTCAGGTATAAAGTGTCATGTCTAACATTTTGATTACCAATTGACTTATCATTGTTACACTGGGTGAAGTTGTTAATTGAGCCACTTGAACTATATAGGCATTGCCTTCATCTCAATAATAACTCAAACATTTCAATTCTGTGGAGCATTGACCTAAAATAATGTATGGGTCATTATCAAACAATCATTATGCATTTAATTAATAAAGAAGCATATTAATATCTATTCAATATAAGTTAGACAATTAAAGTTTACAATACCAGGAAACAGATGGGCAAATGTATCTCATAGGACAATAGGTGTTTTTTATACGTGGACAAATATATAGCTCTAAGGAGATGCAACATACTTATATAACATAAACATTTAAGTCTCCAATAATGTATTCCTCTCGCCCCATCCCCAACCCTTTTCTTCCCACTCTCCCCCTGTCTCTCTCTACATCACCCTTCCATTTCTTTTTCTCACTGTTTCTCTCTCCCATTAGTCTTCCACATGAATGGACATTTCCACTGGTACAAAACAGGGTGTCAGTGATGTAGGGATAATGTCACTGGGCTAGTAACCCAGAGACACACGTTAATATTCTGAGGCCATGGATTCAAATTCATCTATGGTAGATAGTGAAATTGATTGATAATCTCAAATTAAAAAGCTAGCCGAATGATACCCATGCAACCACCATTGGTTGTTGTAAACACACATCTGGTTCACTTATTTCCTTTACAAAAGGAAATCAGCTATCCTTACCTGGTCTGGCCTAAGCAGCAAAATAGATTACTCTTGATAAATGATAAATGCTGGCTTCGCCTGTGGTGCCCACATCCCATGGCAAGTAAAAGAAATCCACATTAATCCTTAATTTCCCAGTTATATAACAATGATATTTTATTTAAAAAAGGTAAAGTCACCATCATCCTAGAGGATCATAGGTGTTTTGTATATGTATATAATGATATAGATCTAAGGAGATGTGACAAATTTATATAACATAAACATTTAAATCTCCAGTAATCTGCCTACATTTAACTCATTGACAGTTAAACATAAAAGACCAAGTGTTTGGACTGAATTTTTTTTTATTAAATTCTTAGTTTTAATAGGATACATATAGGGTTGAAGTTATAATGCATATTGCTTATCTACACATATAGAAATATATGCATGCCGGCGATTCCAATTGATAAAATAAGTGATTTGTAGACAAATGAACTTCTTGTATTAATCAAAATGGTTTTGCAATGTTAAATACCAGATATACATCTGTGGGATTCAAATTAAAATACACAGAAATACCTATATTAAGTCAGAACATGCATGTAACCAGTTTCCAACAATTTTACATGAATTAAAATAATTCTGTGGACTCTAAGTAGAAACAGTAACATGACTCAAAACATGCCGTATTCAGATATTGAAAATATGAAATGAGATAGATAATGCTGGGGAAAACAGGAGGCCTGGCAAGATCTGTGCAAAGAGAATCAGCGTTAACATTTCAGATTGGTGATATTTCATCAGTACTAGGATAAGTTGGAGATGAGTAGTTATTAAGCTAATTCTTTCCCCAACATTTCCCCTTACACTTACTAAAAAAATGTACATCACTAATGTTTTTCTAGTTTTAGTCAAAAGATATTGATCTGATATCTTAGTTCTGTATTTGTCTACAGAGATGCTCGCTGGGTGTTTTCAACATTAGCCATGTTTCTTTCAAAATTATGATGAGTGGATTTGATTCACCATTACTTGTAGTTAACAGATAATCAAATATTGGTAGTCAAATGTTTCTTAACTGTCATGCAATGTCTTTAAGATAATCTTTCTTATCATGTTTGATATAATTGTGGCATAAGCAAATGAATTCTTATGGAATGGAGGAGGGGAGTTATAGTTGTTGGTTTATATTGGCATGTAAGTTAGTTCAGATAACAAAGAAGTCAGGTTTAAGTTTGAGTGAATGTCCCCAAGTAGTAAATAGATGTCTATATAAGTTGCCAATTCAATGCTTTTGGCATGTATTGCTGTTTTTAAAAAGCTGTTCTAGTCATTGTAACATGAGTCAAAGTGATGCGTTATTTTGTCATTCCTGGTTCAAATCATAACATTCTGGTTGGGATTGCTAATGTTTATGCATGATTATATCTTTACTACTAAGTATAATAGTTTAGGAAATGAGTAAAGATTACATACATTTTTGTAGGTGGAGAATGCATGGTTAAGATTTTGGAATGATATGTTAATGTATGTTATTGCCAATAATTTAGACAATATCACAGAGTTTTATTATATACATTGTATGACGTATTTGAAACATTTAGAATTCCCAATGACTGATGTAATCTTTGTTTACTTTGCCTCCAGTTGAAAGTTCAGCTGGTGAAAAGAGTCCTCCAGGCCCAGCCTCCAAGAGGGCACGCACAGCATACACCAGTGCCCAACTGGTAGAACTGGAGAAGGAGTTTCACTTTAACCGCTACCTTTGTAGGCCAAGGAGGGTTGAAATGGCCAACCTCTTAAACCTCACTGAAAGACAGATTAAAATCTGGTTCCAAAATCGGAGAATGAAGTACAAAAAGGATCAGAAAGCGAAAGGCATGCTAACTTCATCAGGCGGACAGTCACCCTGCAGAAGCCCCATCCCACCATCAGCTGCAGGAGGATTTGTAAACTCGATGCATTCCTTGACAACCAGTGCTCCATATGATCCCCACTCGCCTACATCCTTCAATAAACCTCATCAAAACACCTACGCTATTCCTACGTCTTATCCAGGGCCCCTCAACAGTTGCCCACCTCCACAGAAGAGGTATGCTGGGACAGCCGCTGTGACACCTGAGTATGATACGCATCCTCTTCAAGGTAATTCTGGCTATGGAACTCCTCATTTACAGGGTAGCCCAGTCTATGTTGGAGGAAATTTTGTGGAATCCATGCCAAGCTCTGGGCCTTCCCTTTTCAGCCTAACTCACCTCGGTCATCCTCCCTCTGGAAATATGGACTATAACAGTGCAGGGCCAATGACAAGCAACCATCACCATGGACCTTGCGACCCACATCCCACGTACACAGACCTTTCTTCACACCATCCGTCTCAGGGAAGAATTCAGGAAGCACCCAAGCTGACCCATCTGTAGTGGACCAGTTAGCTCCTGGTGGACTATCACTTTCTCATGCTTTTATATCATGTTATCTATGATTACATCCTTCTTCCGCCCTTTCCTTTTTGCTTTAGTATCAACCCTTATAGGTTACAAGTAATGTACCTAATGACAACCAATCTTTGCTTGCATTGCTCTGTCTCTGGTTAGTGGTTGTTCTTTTCATGGACTCTAGCCTTAACATTCAGTAGTAGAAGTGAAGTACTAAGGCTTACAGAACTTTGCATATATAATCTTCTACTTTATGGAACAGGGTATATGAACAAATTTTCTAAAAAAAAATACAATACTTAAACGTGAATTTGTTCGTGCTTTATTTTTCCTTGCGAGGAACAGTAAAATGGTTTATATTGCACTTCTTTACATTGAATGGTTAAACAAGATCAAAGCGCTTGTACAGGGTCTCCCTGGGCAAATAAGAGTTCTTGTCCATCTTTCAGTATGTGTGTATGCTGGTGAACATTCAAATTTATTTATTTGCTCTTGCAAAGGAGAATATTCTAAGTGTTTAAAATATTATTTATCCCCATTGACGCATATTTATAAATAGAACTGTACATTGACTATTTACTTTGTTCTGTTCAGCCTTGTGTTTTAAGTCATGGTAAATATATGTTTTTTTTTAATTCCTGTAAGATACACAGAAAAGTAGTTTTCTGTTAGTAATGTATTCTTGAAAAACGCAATTTGGTCAATTGTGGGAATAACGCCAAGAAAAGGGACTTAGTCTGTAACTGTAGTATTCTTAAAATGGAACACAAAATTGCCACAATTTTGTTTTAGGTATGCATTCCATGCTGCAAATGAGATATCCGTTGAACAGCTAGTTCTGACGAATAAATTTTTTTGTCAGCAATACTGTGGTATTTGTAGTGTTAATTTCAATGAATTGCATAGTACGTTTTGCTTCTAAAATATTTACAAAAAATTCAGTAATACACAACATAGCACTCAGCTCAGAAGTCAGGTTTCCTTTGTGTTGTGTGGCTATAACCAAGTGCTTCAACCCCCACACTGTAACATCATCCATTATCATGTGGCTTGCATCTGTCTCCAATGCTGCATTTATTGAGGCCGAGAAAGAAAAGGACTCAGATCCCCTCTCCCCAACCCCCTATGCCCCACCACCACATTCTGCCACCGTCCCCAAAAAAAAACCCCGGCAAAAATGAAAAGATTTACAAGAAGGCATTCCTAACTTCATGTTTTAATTATTAATAATGATTTGTTTTATCACGATGCATATATAGTACATACAAAAGATACACATATTACATTGGATAGACAATACTTTGCCAACCGAAAACATTACTATTGCCGCCGTTTCTCGGTCCGTTTTCCAAAGAATCCTGAACATGCAGAGAGAGAGAAAGAAGAGGAGAAAATGTCAGGATTCAGAAGGACTTCGGATTATTAATTTTAAGTTGATTTCTGATTAAGCGATACCATTGGAAAATAGTTTTAAAATTCCGACAGATTCCATTTATACCTCGATTCTAAACAAAAAAGGCAATTTCAGCTGAATTTTCTATATAAAATATCAGGCGTTGGACATGCGTGTTTAGATCACTGCTTTTAAAATCAAAACTATTTATCGCTTAATTTTTAACTATTTCAAATAAAGTACGAAAAAATCTTTGCTTATATATAAAAATGTTGTCACTATGTCCCTTAGGTATTGCAAAATGTCCCAGTAATTTCAGATAAAGTGAACAACTTCATGTTTGCTTTCCCTAATTAACAGCTTTGTTGAAAGTATTAAATTCAATTTATAAAATATTCAGCAACTCAACGTTGATAAATATTTCGCATAATTCCAACGATCAAATCCTTTTTCAACATGAACTCCGAGTCCGCATTTCCCGGGCAAACGAATAAAGCTCAAAGTGAACATGCAGTGATGGTTTCCCATTGCAATGGCAGCATCGTTACTTAAGAATTTTCCCTTATCCAGATTATTGATTTAAAAAATAATATTTTGAGACTTAGATAGCATTGGCGGTAATTAAAGCATCGAATAAAAATCAAATGTCTGTGGATAGTTTTAGATACCTCACTGAATCATTGGAAACGGTATCCACAGGCTTGCTAAATGGTGAGACAATCGGAAGGGGAAAGCTTACCTTTAGCTCTCGAGTTTTATAAAAAAAATTAATTTCCATGTGGCAGAACCTGAGTGCCGAGCAAGGAGACGCCATGTTGTCGGCATATTCCCCGTCAACGCTTCCCAAAGGAGACGCTGTCTAATTTATCTTTCTATCCAAAGTACATGGGAGACTTTCTCTACTCAACTGGCAGTTATGAAAGTGACACAATAAAAATGCATATTGACAAACTGAATAATGCCATCTAAGCATAACATGGATTACAATACATGAGTAAACTATCATAAAGTTCCGGTTTTACACATGCAGATTGAACGAAATTATTTAATGAGCTTTTACCAGTCAAATTTCTTTCTCTGCAGTATCGGCAAAACAAATTCCCTTCACCAGGCGGCTTTAAAAAGTCTGACTGAGACGTTCTCCGAAAGAATGCAGAATGAAATGTTAAGGAGTTATTTGATAAGCTTACCGCGTTCCCAAAGATTGACTTGCAACGAAACATCCCTTATAATTGACATATTTACTCAGTATTTATTCATTTCCTTATCTGTTGTATCGGAATAACGTTTTCAATTTCGAATCAGTTTAAATGTTTGTTCTCATTAAACAACATAAAGCTACGTAATTGCTCTCAGAACACAAGAATTTACTCACAAAACAATGACAATCTAACCAAAATTTCCTATGTATGTAAACAACCCAGAATACGGTTATACGTTTTCTTCAAGCTGTATAGATTGCAGAACTGAAGAATTCTCGGCCGGATGTGTGTATCTTTCCTAAATATTCCAAGCAGCAAAAGTATTAATAACAACGACGTTTTTGCATCTTAAAAATATCATGTTCTCTTTCATTCCGTTTTGTGTTGCTAGCAAACTGAATGAAATGCGCTTTGCTTTCGCCCACATGCCCTCTGCAACAGAAAAGCTGTGAAAATCTGCAGAAGGCAAACACCTACACATGTTTCACATACAAAAGCGCCATTTAATTGCTAAAGGCCCTTCCATTTGTAGCTTAGCATGAAAACCTACAGTTCAAACTTAAACAGGGAAAGCTGGTCAAAATGATTCAATGATTATTTAATATTTTCTATGAACTCACCCTATTCTTGCGTTATTAGCTCAGTACCGTAAGTTATGTTATGATGATAAGCAACATTTTTTTTTGTAACTATTCAAAAGAGTAAGCAGTGTTCCCAGTCTCTAGCTGATGGTATTCGACATTGCACAGAGAAGCTTTAAATGTGTTCTTGGGGGCTAGAAGCTGTCAGACCTTTTGCCGAACAAGATTGATAGGACACATACTTCCTTACAGCGTTGTTTGCGGTATAAGCAAAAGGGAGGCCCAGAAAACCACTGCTACTTCCATTTTAACCAGTTCAATAAAATCCCTTGATGTTGAGGATTTTTTAAGTGCGAATATATTTGGCAAATACTGCAAGGCCATAACGAAAATAAGTGCACCGTAAGTTTGTTTAAAGGAGCCCCCCTCCCACTATTTCACAATTTAAACAGAAGTGTGATTATTTTTAAAAGGAATTTGAATTTTAAGTTTGGGAAAACAACCGCACGCTTTAATTTTTCGTCCATTCCACGCAAATACACGTTATATTCAAACTCTTTCGTTTTATGCTATGTTTATACATAATGTCTACATGTTTGTGCATTTATTCATGTGCTTGCGCATATCATTTAAACATAATCTATTACCACCCGCAGTTAATTTTAGACGTTGCAAATTTCACAAAACACAAGAGAATACAATACCTTCAGACATACGCCTTTTGCGTTTTTCGTTGGTCATAAACAAACGACAATAAAAATAATATAATGTAGCATCCAGAATCACCGCCATATTCGACCTCCTGCATGAATTATTGCCTTCGTTCAGCACAATAATCAAAGAAAGTCCGGTACTGTACAAATATGATAATAGGGGGGACGAAACTCCCAACGAAAACATGAAGCAAATGGCTGTAGCTTCGTCTGTGTAACTTCTTATGTGGCTGGGTTCTGGGGTCCAGTGTCAAAACTTTGAAGATGAATGGATTACTTTGTTAATGACTCTAGGCGTCAGATTTAGGTGCAAGATGATTTGTGAGGTGCTAGTCGTCTTCATGACAGTCGATAACACAGAGAGAAAGAGGAGCCAGCAAGTGTGGAGGAGACAAGAGAGGAAGAGAGAAAGGAAGAGGCAAGGCTGAATGAACTGATTTTCACTTGCTTTAAAATAAAAAAAATCTTTTTTCACATTTATTATGGGAAGATGGATCAAAAAAGTGGAAATCAAAACACTGCTGGCCTTGAATGAGGCGTTTCTCTCCGACTTTTTGGATCAATCACATAGACAGTGCCTTCTTTTGATTAAACCCCAAATTGTCATTGGGCAGACGCAATCATGTGACAGCGAATTCGGTCCAATTTCAACCTTGTCTCCATGAATTCAATAGTTTAATAGTAGCACGGTCCCCATACGGCTGTAATCAGTGAATTAGAAAAAAAACCCAGCAGCGATATTTATTTTTTTTAAACGATCCAAAAAATAACTAACACCTAACTTTCTCCCCCTACGTTTTGTGGAGACGGCAATGAATTACGAATTTGAACGAGAAATTGGTTTTATCAATAGTCAGCCGTCGCTTGCTGAGTGCCTGACATCTTTTCCCCCTGTCGGTGATACATTTCAAAGTTCATCAATCAAGAACTCGACGCTTTCACACTCGACAGTGATTCCTCCTCCTTTTGAGCAAACCATCCCCAGCCTGAATCCCAGCAGTCACCCTCGCCAAAACCGGCCAAAACAGAGCCCAAATGGCACAAGCCCTTTACCAGCCGCGACTCTACCTCCGGAATACCCCTGGATGAAAGAGAAAAAAAACTCCAAGAAGAATCACCTGCCTGCTTCTTCGGGACCCGCAGCATCCTGCCTTTCCCAGAGAGGTCAGCTCAAAGACGTTTCATTTCTAATTATTGCCTTAACTTAATCTTTCTTATTTGCATGATTGTTGAACCAGTTTATTTTTTTGTTGTTGTTGCTAGTTAATAATGAAAAGATCGAAGCACTTTTGCCAACTTGTTTAATGGAGTATGATTTATTTGCCAAGCTAGTCAGAAAATGACCTTCTGTGCTCTCCCCATCCTAGAGTTTTGATATTTGACAGTAATGAAGAGTGATAGATGAGCGCACTTTCGTGGTAAAGCAGCTGATGCAGAGATCACCAAATGTGGAATGGCTGCAGTAAACTTTACTGCAAGATTGGGCTTTAGTGCACGTGTATCTTCTAATACATTTAATATTTTAGCAAGAGGCAGACGCCACAGGCGTAGTCATTGAAACAATGGGGTTTACTGCATTCAGGCGGCCATTTTGTTGCAGTGAATGGTGTATAATTTTATCTACTTTTGGTTTAAGTGACTGCAAACTCCTTTAAATATTGTTTTCCACTTTACTTTTATTCGTAGAAACTCATGAAATTCCGGATAATACTGGTGGGGGATCGCGGAGGTTAAGGACAGCTTATACAAACACGCAGCTTTTGGAGCTGGAAAAAGAATTTCACTTCAACAAGTATCTGTGTCGACCCAGGCGGGTGGAGATTGCTGCTTTGCTTGATTTGACTGAAAGGCAAGTGAAAGTGTGGTTTCAAAACAGACGAATGAAACACAAAAGACAGACCCAGTGCAAAGAAAACCAAAACGGCGATGGCAAATTTAAGAACTTGGAGGACAGTGGGCAGACTGAAGATGACGAAGAGAAGTCACTCTTTGAGCAAGGCAACAACAATGTTACAGGCGCTCTCTTGGACAGGGAAGGCTATGGTTTTCAAACCAATGCACTGACTCAACAGCAGGCGCACAATTTACACAATGGAGAATCCCAAAGTTTCCCAGTTTCGCCTTTACCCAGCAATGAGAAAAATCTGAAACATTTTCATCAGCAGTCACCCACTGTTCAAAACTGCCTGTCAACAATGGCCCAGAACTGTGCAGCTGGCTTGAACAATAACAGTCCAGAGGCCCTTGATGTCCCTTCTTTACAGGATTTTAACGTATTTTCCACAGAATCCTGCTTACAGCTTTCAGATGGAGTATCGCCCAGTTTGCCAGGCTCCCTCGACAGCCCTGTGGATCTTTCTGCTGACAGTTTTGACTTTTTTACGGATACTTTAACCACAATCGATTTGCAGCATTTGAACTACTAACTGAAAAGTCGGTGTGAGCAGAATATGCCTTCTTTTAAATTCGTTTCCTTTCCTTCAGTTGCTTTCAAATGGTCAGTATTTCTTTTCCCTTTTAATCAACTTGAATGTGTTCGAAACCATCTATAACTGCAAAATTTAGATACTGTCTTTGGACTAATGTCCCGTGTTTTATAATGTCCCGTCATCAGCTCTATATCCGTCTCTGAGGAAAATTATCGCATAGAAATCTACCGATATCTACTTTCCCCTCTTTTCCTTTTGTATTATTTGAAGGTACATTGTCATAAATAATTTGATAGAGCATATCATTTACACGCTACAGGTAGCCATCCTGAAGCATTTTCTTTCTCAGGACTATTTTCACTTAATAAATAACTTTCATTTTTTCACATAAATGCATTAATAAAATTGAGCAGTCTGGTCAGTGTCGTTATTTACTTTTTCATAACAGTATTTATTGAAGAAGAAGAGGAAGAAAAATAAAAGAATCCAGGATCTTTATTTTATGACTCCACAAAAACAACAAGAAAGTTGTGTTTTAAAACTTCCACTAACATTGCCCGTGGCATAGACCAAGGCTCCAGAAAAGTCAATTAATATTGCCTTTATTAACTTACATAAAATAAGTGGTGCCAGATTTTAACATTAACACCAACAGAATAAACGAAACAAAGGCAAAAAGGAATTAATCACATTTCGAAGAAAAATCTTCTTAAGTTCACACCCCATGGATACATCTGTCAGCACTCAGAAAATCTAGGAAAGAAGGGGAAAAGTTTAGGAGTGTTCATGTTCACGTGTGCTTGCTATTAAACAAACCTCTGTTTATTGATGCCAGAATCTAATCTTTATTGCTGATTCCACAACTCCTTATCTCTCTTACTGCCAGTCAATATCAGCAACATAGAATTCCACATGTTTTACTGCATCAAGTCAGATTAAAACTCGTCCACATACAAAAAAAAACTAATCCTAAAGATCTCCAGCCTTTCTATGTAGTTTATTATTTCAGAAATGAAGCGTTTAGTATCGAAACCGTTTATACAAGTGAAGTCAACTCTGTTTTCTAGAAAAAGAGGAAGCTACTAAGGTCTGAGAGAAAGCCGGTGAGGCGCTTTAAAAAGCATCTATTTCAGCCCAAATGCTTAATCGGTCACAGTCCTCCGTCTTGAAAAAAAGTCTCTAGAAGACAAGATCGTAAATCTTGGGCCATATTTTTTAAAAGCATAAGGCATTTTGTGTTTCCTTATTGCAGTTGTATTTGCGTAAATGAAATAACAGCTGTAGGAATGCATTCGCATTGTGTGCTAGGCTTTTTAGGCGGCAGTTTTTTTTTTGCTTTTATGCCTCTTCTAACATCCTACTCCTTCTACATCCCCTCTGCCGAGGAACACGTTGCAAGCTTCTTCCAACTGATCAGGAACTTTCACTATTAGTGGCGGTGGACTATGTGTTTGTGTTGCCATTTGTAAAAGCACGTTGGGCTTTTGCGTAAGCAGTGACAGGAACAGCTCTGGAGGTAATTCTTCCCAAACTCATAAATCAAAGCTCTTTTATGAATGAGAATGTCATCAAATGGATCAATCGCAGCAGTACATACAAAAAAAACATCTTACGTATTTGCCTGGACCGGGGAACCCCTGTCAGTTTCTAACTTGTAGGCGTTGAGTCGTGATTCATTTTCACTGTTTTATATAAAGAGCACGGCGTTTACCACTGCTGTTATTGATACTTCCTTCGAATTTAGTCTCCCTACGTGAGGATTTATAACGATAGACTGGAGTTCTAATTGTTTAATCATTAAACAGGGAAATAATAGGAAAGATTTTTTAAAAATTTCATACTGAATTTACTGGCTTTGTGCCCAGATTTATATATAAAATGAATTTCATTATCGGGCCGCTGTAATCTTGTGAAAAGGGAAGGCGACACTTCCTTATTAAAAACAAACCGCTCGGGCAAATAGTGACACATTGTCGATAACTTGTCGCGATTAAAACAAGTCCTCACACGACATAATGGGCAACTTGCTTTAAGAGACGTGTCCTTAAGACGAAAGCACAATGGAAGAGATTCGCCCGGTCCCTCAGTACCAAGGGCTTTCAGGCACACTGGACGGCGCATGGTGACGGCGATAACCCGAAAATGCTCCAAGCCAGGCCTTGGTTTTACCGGGGTGCGGGGGGATGGGGCGGACATCTCAGGGAAGAATTGGGAAAGCTCCCTCAATAGAAACCTTCTACTGAGAAGCGAAGGGGGTGGTGGTGGTGTGGCGGAAGGGCGAATTTTTTATTGTAGAAAACTGAAAAACAGAACAGGCATTTTTTTGTTGTTGTTGTTGAAATCGATTCAATCCAGAATTTTTTTTTGAGCAGGCATTTTCCGCTACAGTGAGTGCACCGACCTAGTAAATAAAGATGGCGGAGCTGAATGTAAATCTGTTCATTTGTTTTAACTTAGGGAACATACGGACAGTGGGAGGAATGTACTGATTTATTGTTGAGTTTCGTATATGGCGAAAAATCAATTCCGGAGGTATCTCGGTAAAATTACCGTTGTGAACACAAACAAGAGACGTTTTATCAGACTCAACAACAAAGGTTTCTTTCTCTTCGAGGATCGCAATTCATTTCTGTGTAATTCTTTTTGTTTTGCTTTGGGATTGAAAACTGGAATTTTTCTGAGCATTATTCAATAGATCAGGGAGCAATATTTGATACAGCTGATAGAATTGCCATTGGCCAGAAGTACATATTTTTTTACAAATATATTTCTTGTGAGTTACTTTTAGGTAATTTATTTTTTGCTAATTTCATGAAGTCAATATAGTAAAGAATATACATTCAGACCACACATCGCAATTTTCAGCTCCTTTTCCATTGCACGTGGATCAGTACTTAAAATAAATCCCCCTATTTTATTGAGGCATTTAATTTAATTAATTACGCGTCAAATTTCCAAAAGCCTAAATAATCTCCCTGTTCCTTGTGTGATCGCCATTCCCCAGTGCTGGTTTACAATTTTAGAGCAGGGTTAGGAACCACCGTTTGTCGTAACTAAATAATCCGAGTAAATTACTGTATCTAAGCCTGACCAACGTCACTCTGTAATGTGCATTAGATTGATCCGAAATCACCACCGGCCCTGACTGCTCGGATAGGTCTCTACAGGAAGCTGACAGATGGGTGGCAGCGCCTTGCAAGCGACCACGTTTGGTTACATTATGCCTCAGCCAAGGATTGTTATTATTCATATCGGTGTGGAAAGCAACCCGTCTGATTCCCGCTTCAACCAGAATAAATAGGCAGGCAGCCAGTATGATCTCGAAGACACTTTGGCTGCCTGTAACCCTATAGTGAGGGGATGCTCCCGCCAGCCTGTGTTCGATTGAAGAGCCTGCTCATTTCCATGCCAATAGCGAGAAACTTGAGGACTGGCAAAGGCCAGGCCTTGATAGGCTGTTGCATGTTTCCTTGTGACATTAATGCACAGTAAAGGCATGACGCCTCCTTTTACAACAGCGCACCATATCACATACAGCTTAAATACAAATCTCTGCACCATAAAGCTCGTCGTCCAATCAATCATCTTACCCTTTTATTTTCAGGATAATCTTCACAGTTGCGCTGCAGTGATTAGGGTATAATCAGTTCATAATATGCGCAGGCCTGAACGAAACACAGCTCTGCAGCAACTACCTGGATTTTCTTTCATTAAAGTGCGCGAAATGATCTGACACCCAACAGATCTGCTTGCATAGCTTCCCCCCGACCTACGTATAACCTATCTCAGCATGAAAAACAAATCACCGCTCTCATAAACACACAATGCTGCAGCAGAGATACCAGAGAGGGACACGGATTTCATCCTTACAGTGGAACACTCTGATGCCATTCCCCTTACCCTTACAGCGTCTGGCTGTTAGGTATTTATCCAGCGACCTACCTGAGAAAGAAGCTGCTGCGCTGAACGGGACGCGCTATTACTCCCCATGGCAGACTCGCGGTAACTCTTAAATGGCGCTGCAGGTCCGGAAAGGAACAGTACGTGCATCTTGAACAAATTCCTGCTGCATTCTGCTGGGCATGCTTTGAAGTATAATGCATTCGAGGGCTAATAATGCGCGTAACCTTGATGGGAGAGCCTTTGGAATTTCAATGCCAGTAAAACGGTGATCGATCAGCAGCAAGAGCATGCAAACTTCGCAGGCAGCCCGGCGATTGGGCGGGTTTGGTCACGTGGCGACACTTGCCTGTATATTGATATCAGTTTCTTTCAGCCCCCATTGAGGAAGTGGGCAAGTTGGCACGGTCCATCCAGGCTGGTGGACTTTATATGCTGGTTATACCCCAGTGACAGATGGACAATGCAAGGATGAACACCTTCCTAGACTATTCCATCATTAACGGAGACACTGGGGCCTGCTCTTCCAGAAGTTACCATGCAGATCCAGGAATTGCAACTTACCAGCCCTGTGCCGTTAGTAATAATAACTGCACCGCTGATGAACGCTACATCGTGGCCAGAAGTGTCCAAATAGGTGCTCCACCTCCTCCTCATCACCATCACCAGCCTAGCTATACACATCACAACAACCTGGGCATCTCTTACAGTGCCCACCCCAACTGTGGGGCAGGATATCCAGCCCAGAGCTTTAGCACAGGCTACAGTCATCATCACTACTCATTGAATCGAGAGGCGGATGGTAACGGAGGGTACCCTCAGTGTGCTCCTGCTGTCTACCCTGGGAACATTGGCTCGGCCATCAGCCCTCATCAGCACGGCTATGGTGGGATGGTGGGGCCAAGTCAATATTCCCATCACCCTTACGGACAAGAGCAGCAGCAACAGCCGAGTTTAGCCCTAGCTACAGGCTGTCACCCTCCGTCCCCCGCCCACGGCAGCCATCAGGAACCTTGCTGCTCCCCGTCTGCTGAGACCCCTCCCCCAGCACAGACCTTTGACTGGATGAAGGTGAAGAGGAACCCTCCGAAAACAGGTAAATTCTATTTTCGAGGTGCAATTCCTTTCCACAGGTAAATCATTGTCAGGTGAAAGCCGATACTAGCAGATGCGGTGGTGGGAAAGCGTGTCAGACTCCAGTTGAAAGAAATCTTGATCTGTTGCATGTTGTTTAAGATGATCGAATGGCCGCATCTTTCGTCTACATTGTCTTTTTTTCCCATCTATTCTTTCCTTTCCAGTCTTATCAGCATTGTGTGAAGCATATTTTCAACACCACCTAGCTGATGACATGCAACAGTTGTAGTGTAATGCTTTTCGGCTTTTCATGACAAGACATTCCCAAACTACTAAAAAGGGAATGATTGATTATCTATGCAGTGAGCCGAATCCAGCTGTCCCAAGCAATTGTCACAGTCTACCTGTACGATTCCTTGCTTGACTTACCTGTTATGTGCTCCTTTCTATTCACTGATTTAGGGAAGGCTGGGGAGTATGGTTTTGCTGGTCAGCCCAATACAGTGAGAACTAATTTCAGCACTAAACAACTAACCGAGCTGGAGAAAGAGTTTCATTTCAACAAGTACTTGACCCGGGCCAGACGGGTGGAAATCGCGGCTGCCCTTCATCTCAACGAAACCCAGGTAAAAATCTGGTTCCAGAATCGGCGGATGAAGCAGAAAAAGCGGGAGAAGGAGGGCTTCGCCTCAGCTTCTCCGGCCACTCCAGGGAGTGAAGCAAACACAGAAGACACCTCAGACAAATCGAACTCTACCTCGTCGACTCCCTCCCCATCATCATCTACCTCAGAAACGATTCATACTTCAGGCTGAAACATTCCACAGCAGCCCCCACAACTGGAAACCATTTCATTTGATAGTTGTTTCAAGTTAGGAGGGAAAGATGTAATGAGACATAAATGTCTGGGAAACAACCCCGAATAAACTTATTTTCTTTGGGGAAAATAATCAGTCAATCTCTAAATGTACCAGAGATGCACTATTATAGAAGTGTTTACACTGAGAAACAACTACTGTATAATATAATTGTCCTATTTTAATTTAATGTGTTGCATATATATTGTAAGCTGCGCTGGTTGTATATATTTTGTCAAGAGTTTTATCTTTTTACAAGTATTTTCTAAAAAAGAGAAAGGCAGGGTCTTATGTGACATAGCTGTAGAGTTTTTATAAGCAAAATGTTATCAATGAATCAAATATACGTGAAATGTTTCTTGTATTTGCAGAAAGCAGAGCTGAGTAGATAGGGGACCTCTCCTTAAACTGTGGAGGATTTTATGTACAGAAATTACCATTGCACTGGGCTATGTAAAATTTGAGCAATGTTAAATGTGTTCCTCTCCCAAAGTACATGGGCTGTCTGAAGACCAGCAGTAGCACCTTGTTAAAATACCTCAAAATGATCATGTTTACTCCGATATTTGTTGGACTTAATTTCATAAGCTACCTGTCAATGTAAGTTATGGCCAAACGATTGTTTTCCTTGTGATTTGTGTACGGAATTTTGCATGATACAATGCTGTCAGTGTGTACTTAACCCATCACTGAGTTTTATCAGTTCTCCTGTGTGACTAGATGTATTATACAATCAGCACGTGATTTGAATCAGTTCTGAGATTCCAGGACAGAATTTACGGGTCCAAATAATAAATTATATTAAAATGCTGCGTTTCTCTATGATGTTACAGTTGTATGTAAGTTATCTTAAGCATGTTACAGTTTCTCAACCCATCAACAGTGTTCAAAATCGTCCTTCAGATCCCGGACACTTTTTAACATCACGTTTATTTATTTAATTTATTTATTGGTGTTTTATTTATTTCAGGTTATTAATAGATAACAGTTCATGAAGTTCATGTTCGCCGCTCCAACTAAACTGAACCTAAAGTCAAATGGGACAAGTTATTTTATTCACAGGAAAGACCTGCGGGTCTTTAAAGTGGCTGTTAAAGCAATGTTAAATGCTTCATATAGTGTATCTAAACACTGACCTTTTCACCTTGAATGGCTTATTTACATATATGTAAACAGGGCATTCTCCAATGACAGTGGTTGTCATCAACTTGACTTGCTTCAAAATGCAACAAAGAATTTACTGCATTCACAGTCACACTCCAGCAAACGAAGTATAAGAAATGGAAAACACAAGTTTATCGACGCAAGGTTCCAAATTAAACTATTCTCGAATTGTTTTGATTGAACAGATTGCTGAAGCCGCGTAGCTTCAGAAACATGATTAGATGCAGTTTGGTGTCAATAGCAAAAGTCGATGGTGTTTTAGGGCATGTCGGCCATATCAAGGGAGATGTCTGCTGTAGAGTTGTCTGCCTTTGGAAGATTACATTCGACGCAAAAGAGCTTCAAAGAAACCTCCAACTTTTTGTCTTACGTGCTTCTCAGCGGTTCCAGCATCACTTTCTGTTTATTAAAGGAAACAAATTGAACAAAATCAAAATTTGTCAAGAATTAAACAATATGCCTCCGATTTTTTTTATAACTATTGGAGTGGATGTTTAGTTTGCTGTCAATTCATTTAATTGTACGACATTAAGAATACCTAGAGTTTAACATTTGAGAAGACGAGAGTTAAAGCAGTTTCAGGTAATAGGCAGAAAAAGACTAGCATTTATATAGAGCATTTTAGAGCGATAAAATAATCCCGTGGTGTATTATAACCAATGAAGTATTTCTGGAGAAGCCGCTGACATAGAATAAGAAATGAAATAACTCTTAGTAGCCTGGAAATACAAGATTCTAAGTGGAACATTTTGGATTTTATGTACTTCTCAAAGTTAAATTTAATTTTTAGGGTCTCCTAACTGTTACAAAGCCTTTTGGGGTAGATATTCCAGAATTTCAGGTTCTCCGCTTTTACACAGCTGTAGTGCCTTGCCATCTGTTGCTAGCGATTAAACGTAAAATTCGATCGCGTGGAATCCACTTGTCTTCTCACATTGCACATTTAATTTCTCTTTATTATAGACATTCGGTACCAGTTCCCGGTAAAAAGAAACAAGCCTTGTTTTTCTTTAGGACTTTTTAATGGATTTTTATAATCATCAGTGAATGCACATCAAATCTAAATACTAAGACAATACATTCACAAATTATCGTTTGTACATTTTACAGAAAAACTGCACCCACCGCGGAAGCTTAAAGGAGCCCAGTAATCAGGAGCTGACTTTAACCACATGCCATGCAAAGGATTTGCAGACTTTAATACGCTTTCAAATATTTGTTGGTTTTCAGAAAGAACCGCAGAGAGACTTCAGTCGTAACATTCAACACTAAACATGGGATGGGTTTGATTTATTTTGCTGTAACGATTTTGCTCAGACAGCCAGGGTAAACATGATGGGCCGAATGGTCTCCTTCACGGTAACAATTCTGTGATCATTTCCCCCGTACCAGACAGTCAATGCCTCCCGAAGACATTCTCTTTATTTCTACATTAAATCACCTCTTATGCAGCATTGATCTCTAATGAATAGAGATCTTTCTTCGAAACTATTTTGTTAAAGAAATCGGAGACGGGGACGATCTCCAGACCACAACCCTCATCCATTTAGATGTTCACCCTCTTGAATTTACCTTTTCCCATGTAGAGATCCTGCATTTCACTCCAGGGCAATCAGATTAAAGCTGATCAATATTTACTCAGTGTGAAAGGCTGACTGAAAACCCCATAGCTAAAGAAACTGTTCCACTCGGCCTGCTCAGCCTTCTTTAATCTCCAGTTCACCGAAAGTTCAGGCCGAAATTAATTCAGAGTTGGGTCATTTTCAAATTAGCCCTCCCGTTTTCGCTCGGGGTAAGCCCCACACCAGCGACACAGTGTGAGCAAACCACGTATAATTACGAAAAAAACCTCTTCGAATACACACTAAAATACAGGGTATTAAGCAAATTGTTATCCTTGTTTGAGGTCAAAGTTCATTCTATCACTGAATAAATGAATATTTAATGATACTTTATTGCCCCATTCTAATGACAGGTCACGTTCTGAGTAATCTTCTTTATAAACATTGACGTCCTAATCGATACTGGGGTTTAGTTTTATGTCAGAACGGAGACAAAAGTAGTCAGCCACTATTGCAGGTCTGACGAGACTTTTGACACTTGATATTGTTTTAATATAACGATTTACTTCGCTGAAAGATGGGAAGTTGGAACGCAGCTCCGAATCATTTAGTATTCATTGAGTTTATAGCAACAATTTATAACGGATTCCTAACCAGATTGCTAAAAATCATCAGCCGCGCTTACATCTCACGTTGGAAGAAATTTCCCCACATTGCAGCGCCGTTCAGCATCAGTCTAGTTTTCGCAGCTGTTAACATTTTGTAATATTTATAAAATTTTTCATTTTTGCAATGTGATAACATTTTGCAGGAAGTCTGTGTAATGCTCTTGTAAATTTATGTAAGGAGTTAACAGCAAAGGCTGCAAATAGAACAAATCTCGGCTAGCTATGCGATCTGACAATCAGGGCAAATATAGCTCATAACAAATCGATCTAATTTAAAAGTAAACTACAGTGAATTAGTCAATCTTTCCTGAACGCAAAATAACTAAGCTGTAAAGACTAGTAAACGATCTCCAGCTAAAATTGTCAAATCAGCCCTTCAACTCTCAATCACTTATCGCCATTAGGGAAACAGACGAGCAAAGACAATTTAACAATATGAAGATAAGTTTAAAGAGAAATGCACACATAAGACAACGAGATAAATATTGAAGGAATATTTTTGACATTGGCTGTGCTAGAAGAAGTGTTAATCAAGTGCATTTTCAATTACCTACAATATAAATCGCTGTGGAAGATGTAACTATGCGAGAAAAAAGGTGCAGCATAGATTTAACAGGACCCAGATGATACATAACTATCAAGGGTTGAGTTATCAGAAGTACAACTTAAATCATTACAAAATTGATAGAAATCTTTTATTTCTTTTCAACAATTATAAGTTCACAAATTAGTTCACTTTTCTACTGAAACTATTTCAAGTGCATATGTTTTCTACAGTGCAGTTTCACAAGCGGTTCTTAGGATCTGGAAATTAACACGAGCTCTTTTATATTTCAGATGAAACAACCTCTAACTGTCTTTGTCATTGTGCAGAATAAGGCAAAGCAATTCGTGAATTACTGTGAGCCTTACTGGAAATATTTTCCATATTTGTCAATTTAGGCTGATATTGATTTAGTTGGACTGTAGTTTCTGCTGTCATGAACGTAAAATAGAAAACTACGAGCGCTTCTTGCATTTACAAATTCGCTTTAAGTACAACAGGCGTGAACTGAACAGCCAGTACAGTATTAATCTACATCATAGCATAGCAATTTGTTTCGAAATAATTAAGTGAGTCTACACGCAGGACAATCCCAGTTTTGACCTTTTGATAGTTTTGCCCATAAGGTTAAACAAACGTACGTCAGGTTGTAAGGACCGATTCATCATTTTAAGAGGCCATGCCAAGAAGTTAGCAATGCAACAGCAGCTCTCGAGTGATACCTCACATTTTATATTTACAAACAATATTATTAGGTTCAAAAGAAGGAAGGAGTCAAGTATTGTGAAATAGGAATTATTAAGAAAACAAACTGTCAACACATTGCAAATCATTCTGTTTCTTCTGTCCAATACATACCTTTACACATTACTAACAGAAAAAACAAAAATATTTAAACAAACTCCACAATGATTTGTATCCAATGCATTTTGAAATTTTCAGTCTGATCAATATGACAATTTTGAAGAACCGCGGAACTTTTTAAATTTGGCAATTGATGTACAATGTTTCATTAAACTT